TGCATTGTCGATCATATTTTGATATGATAATGAAAAATGCTATTATCAACAAAAGCACAAATATTGAAGTACAGCCGATAATCAGACCAGCTTTTGTGTATGAGCATCCTGCTTCCAGGCCTGTCAACTTTGATACTTTATATGTAATAGAATCCTCGGTGGTGTTAATATAGCAGTCGCCTGTGACAAAAAGATATCCCAATTGTGAGCTAAAAAAATTGAGAAAAAATTAACTGCCAATCACAAAAAGCGAGGGAAATATACACACCACTCAACATAATCATATTTAGTATTTTTAGTTACGTTCTGTCTGGTTGGTCCAACAACTAACCCGAAACTCCAACTCAAACAGAAATTACAGTTTGTTTATTCTAAGGTAATCTGAAAGGATCGCCGCAATCGTGTAAAAAAGTCATTTTACAATTTGTACAAAATCTATATTCTGATAAAAGCGCAGAAAATATCGATGGGAAATTTTTTGAGAAAGATATTGCTAGTTCAAGAACTCACTTGGTTTATCAAGTTTACTATCTCGTCTACGTTAAAGTATTGCTGTAAATTATGTTAGCCTCCGACTGTTCTATACATAGACGTGTTTGATGCAAGTGTCGCACCATGCATGTTTGACTTGCAACATGAAGTATTTTAAGGCACAAAGTAAAACTATCATAAAAGAAATTTACCTAAATTTGAAATATTAATAAAACTTTGATGCCCCATAAGCCATGTTGTAAACTCACACATCAGCAAACACTGCAACGGATTTCCTGAAGTCCAAACCGATAGTAATTCATTTGTATATGAGTTTGAAAAATACTCTGAGTAGAGAGTGAATAAATTGCATTCACTTATGTTGGAAGTTTTTAAAGAATCCAATTTGGCCAAAGCAAATTCCCTTATAACTCTAAGGTGAGCGTTTTGAGATATGTCAAGATGTTTCAACAAGGGCAGTGCTCCAAAAATATTTTCGTCAATAGTCTGCAAGAAAATAAAAATCAAAACTATTCTGATTTTTTTTTTATAAATGCATCACTGGTTCACTTTATATGTTTATCTGAATTGAGTCGTGTTTGGTAACACAGTACATGCTTTGATTGTGCATTGAATTTGTTCCGTTCCGATGTCGTATAGAATAGGGAATTTAGTTTTCCCATATTTGTGAATGCAGAAACGCTCACGTATAACCCTTATTTATAAGGTAACTCTTCCAAGGTTGCAATTTGCTGAAATATTTTTTTGAATGATACGCAGGTTGCTTTTTTCGTATCGTATATTTACAATCTCAGATAGGATTTTACTTTTCTTCTTAAAATTGGTACAGTTTTGTTTTTGTTTGCTTCATTTTGATCGTAAAAATAGATGTAATTTGCTTCACAATATGATAATATGTTTTAGTTTGGTAAGTAAATCTCAACCAGCGTACATACCTTGATATTTGTTTCTGTTATAGTTATGGCCTTCAAAGATTTTACTTGGTCGAAATTCGATACAACATTAAGATTTTTACATCTGGTAATTTGTATTTCTTGCAACGAAACAGACCAGTTCTGCGGCCCATATTCGAGATCAACTATTATTACCAGATCTTCACATGCTATCACTTTCAAAAACTAAAAAGGGATATTCCATTCTGTTTGTTATTTTCGAGAGAAAGTAGGTAATAATGCTATTCTCAAAGATTATCGTTCAAAATAGGGAGGTTAGTATAAGCTAGGGATGTTTATATGACGAGAGTATATCACTATGAACCAGATTGTATTTATCGCTGTATTAGCAGACAACAAATCTATTCAAAATAGCATATAGAACAAACGTGTACGGAGGCTAATAATAATGTTACATTTCTACTACTCTTTATTTAGTTTTTATAGTTAATGTATCAAATATGTAATATGTATGTTATGTATCAAACACCTACCCGGAGTATTTCATCCAATTTCATCGCCGTGTATAGATTTTATACCAACATTGTTGAGACTGAGGTAAGTTACATTGTCAGGCAAACTGCCTAGTGTTGTCAGTTTGGGGGAGTCAGTTATAGTCAATTGAATTGTATTCGATGGTATACAGAACAGAATTTCGGTGATGTCTGAATTGCAAATGTATGCATAAAAACGTTTATTTTGATCATACGCTTATTCTAAATAAAATATGTCTGAAATTAGGCAACAAAGTGTTTTCAACTCCGGATCGTTTTCAACTGTGAATCCATAAACATGAGAAAACAAAAAATAAAGATGAAAGTATAGAAATGCTAGAGAATGTTCAAAGATAAACTCATTTTTAATAAAATTGAAAAAATATATAGAGTTATTGTGTGTCAGAATCAATTTTAGCCGACGAATGTTGTTTTCGTGAACAATATATTTTTCTAAATTCCAGAAGTATTGTCACAGCTTCTGTTCTATCTCGAGAATATCATTCACGCAAATTCATTCATCATTCATTCAAGCAAATTGATCAAAGCTATAATTCTACATCTGTTTTCTTGTTTTGCAATAAAAACTTTCCATTTGCATATATAGAGAATAAAATATCTACAAATTCGTAATTTGAATAGCTTAAAAAAATTATTGTTTGACAAATAGAAATATTAGGGTCCCAATGGATCAATACGATTTATGGATATTTGCGTGGAAGCCAACAAAATAAATAGAAGATTAAAAAGTATATAAAGTTTGACTAATGGCCGACGATTTAAGATAAGATGATTATTCATAATAATAGGAGGATTTTTGTCCTATTAGATATTTTTTGAGTTTTCATACTTTTTCGTTGTGAATTTAGCAGTATCAGTACATCGACACATCTACACGCAATAACATGCAATAACTTACTGTTACAAGATGCTGTGCTGTTATAACATTTACAATTTGGCAATTCTCCCAGACGTCTGCCATAGCGGAGATTCCAAAAATCAAAAAAGGTAAAACAGATGCAGCCCGTAGCATCATCATATTACGCCTTTTTATATTTTAAAGACGAGAATAATTTTGTTACTTAAATCTGAGAAAGCTATCTAGCGGTATAGGTTATCTACACTTTTTCTACCGTGGATACTTCAAATGTTATCTGGTTATCTGTCTGAAAAAATGTTTCATAAATATGATCACTGAAATATTATTGAACCACTATTATCAGTATAATCGGTATAGAATAGTAAACAAAGAATATACAGGATGGGCCAAAATAATGTTACCGTATTTTACATTCAGAATGTAAAAAATGGTAACATTTTTTTGGCTCACCATGTATAAAGAAATACAGAGGCACGGTAATCGGCTCCCAAAACTTACTCGAGTCATCTCTTGTTATATTCGCAAAGCTCGCAAGAGATGATCATGTGCGATTGAATGCTGAATATCTCCGCTCGACTCCGTCGCGTAATGTTTCAAGTTATAAAGTTTTCCACCATCATGTCATGCCATGCATAAAATCATGAAAGCCTAGCTAGCTACTCTTTCTATGACCAAATAGAACCGACAATGAGATTCAAGTTTATTACAAGATAGTAAGCAACCTGCCTCACTGCCCGCTTGCTTTTGAAATATCTCGATTTCATTTGTTACTTTGGGCCTAAAACGATAAAAAAAAATGTCTTGCGGTAATATGAACATTTACGAAATAGTACTACTTAAGATTTAAGATGTTTCTCGTTCTCGCGAATTAATGAATAACCCAAATTAAACATATCAAGAAACCTTGTTGGGAATCTAAATCAATAATATCATACCATGGTGCCCGAGAAACAATTGAACAATTCAACGAAACCGCTTCTATATATTTTGATTGTTGATTCAAAATAGTATACTAGTAGTATGTATTAAACCCATTTAATTACCAAAATTCACACTTCCCATTAAAAACCTTAGTATTGTGTAAAAGTTTATTTTGAATTATCCACTCCTTTTGCTTGGCGGAGTATCTAAATCTTTTCCAGACATGAAGGAGCCATGTAGCCTGCCGTTGTTACGCCGGCCGACTGCGGCTTTTCAGAATAATTCTATCAATATTATTGTATACTTGCGTCCTATAACAAAGCCCGTCGATATTTTTATCTCACTATAGCGGAAAGTTAATTGAATGTGTGCGTTGGATAGATTATGCTTATGTCAAATTGTTTCGTTTCTGACTTTGTTAGAAAACTTCTTATCGCCAACCCGACGGAGAATGCCTGTGCTTATCAAACACCATCTGAAACCGACTCCAATTGCGACTCATTTTCACAAAATTTTACTAAACAGTCCGTGGATATCCGATGGTCAGAACTTATTCTTTTTGTGAACGCTAAAATAAAACTTTAACGCAGAAGACTGGCAGACCATTACGTATGACAACATAGGCCAACCGCACAAATAAATTTACCGGGAGAATGAATGAATTATTAAAGCAATTTATTATCTATATTGTTTCTGGTTGTGTCATTCGTGGGGATTGATTTGAGTAATTCACGTTTGTCACACCCTTTTAAGCAGCCAGTAAAAAAGTGCAGAACAATATTTGTAAAAATTTATTTGACAAATTTGGTGACAGTGCACAATTTAATTAAATACTTTTGCACAGATATGCCACAAAAGTTTCAGTTCGGTAGTTTTATATAAGGCATTCCTTATTTATGGAAGTTATAAACTGTCGGCATATGGTATTGTGCTTAATTTCACCTAATGACATAGATGCCTTTACTGCCCTGTTTTTAGATATATTTTAAATTGCATGTTAGTGTTTTAATTCCAGAAAATGTGTGAACAACAAAACTGGAACTCATCGATTCCACTTCGAATCCCAAGGCAATTAATCTAACAGACAACACTAGGCAGTTTGCCTGACAATGTAACTTACCTCAGTCTAACAGTCCTTGTAATTAGCGTTGATGGACGAGCAGCGTTTTCTACCCAGTGACCGTTTATACAAGCACATTTCAGTTTCATCGATAGCACAACAGGAGTCGTATTTGAATTTTCATCTCCATATTTTGACGCTAATTAGAAAATTTGACTTTTTCGTGGGTTAAAAGGAATTCCAGCACTAGTGGTGTAATTAAAACCAAAATTTTCAAACAGAAACTAAAAAACAGAACGTTGAATAAGCATTCTCTATGGACGTTGGAGAAGGAGTTTGGTTTAAAAATTTGGTTTTCTCTGGAACTGGGATCGAAAATATTTTTAACGTGGGGTCGGCCTTCGGATTTTGTCAACCAGGAATGTGAGCGAGAGGCAATTTCTGTAAAACTGAAAATTTGGAGTCAGCCTGATAAAAATTTTCCTCGAAAGATCTGGTTTATCAACAAGATTCATTACAATTTTGCAGCAAGTCAAAGTATGATTCAAAACAAGATTAAAGCTGAGGATAAATAAAAAAAAAATTTAAATTATAAACTTTTGACTTTTGTCACAATCCATTATAATGGTTCATACTTAAAATTAACCAAACTTCATCACGTCTTATTTAGCGTACAGCGTATACATATGCATATTAAACATTGGGGGCTTGAAAAACTTTTGTAATTAAAGAGATATGCCCTGTATATTTTCAAACAAATTGATTCTAAACTGCGGTGATTGTGTTAGAAGATACACCAGAAGAGAATTAATGCTAACGCAACGTTATGAGGTCCAGTAAAATAGTAACCAACTAAAGGTTTATGTTATTTTCAACCTATTTCAAAACAAATATCAAAGAATTGACATAGAAAATGTTCCAGGATGTTTTGTTATGCAAGATCGCAGTGTAAATAATTTATATAAAATCAAAATAAAATGGTAAAAATGACAGAGTGAGTGAGATTAAATTACTTATATTCAACTTTGTTGACATATTTCGCACAAAATTTTTTTTTCCTACTTTTTGCTTGTTAACAATTTAAAAAATGAGGAATTTTGAATTCCACGTTTCAGAGGATGCTAAATTATTCACCGTGGCCTTGACATTTTCAGCATTTGCAAAAAATATATGCCATAACAAAACGTAAAGATTTAAATAAAGTTGTCATTTTGATGCTACTTTTCATTTGTTATGAATCTATACCTTGGTATAACTATAAGGTCACTGAAAAGCACATCATTTTCTCGGTTAAATATTGTTCATCTTTGATTTCATCACAGAATTTTACTTCTGTGAAATTCACAAAACGTCGCACACAAAATAGTTACATAACAGGCAATTAGGTTGATTTTACAAATATTGGAATAGCGTTGTTGAGTGATTTTGTTTACATCAATTCATCGGCATACATGTTTTAAGTTGTAGAAGACGAAGCCACTTCCGGTATATTTATGGACTGAGATTGCTCTTGATCCACGGCTTTAGTGACATCTTCGTAACTTGGTGGCGCGGCAGTATACATGGCTCCTTCGGGGTAATTGATATGTGCCTTTTCATTTTGTGTCTGGTACACCGTGGCGTAAGTGTGATCTTGATCCTGATTGGCAGTACTATTATCGCTAGAATTTCTTCGATTCCTCTGGCTCTTGCAACAAAAGCAACAATATTTCCGGTAATCAATTCCACAAACAACTACAAACACGCAAGCTGCAATACAGATGAAGAAAAATGCTCCAAGTGTTGCGCCTATGATAACACCGAAGGCTGTTGGACATCCTGCCTCATATCGGTTTAAATCGGAAACTATGTACACATACGTGTTTCCGTAGCTTTGAATTGTGCAGCTTCCTAAAAAGCAAGTAAAGAGCTATCAAGGGTTGGGTAAATTTATTAACATACTTCAAATAATTGCCTTGAACCAGTTTCATACAGCGCCTGTTGTGTGTTTTAAAAGAGGAAGAATATAATGTTGTACATGCAATATACAATATACGCATGCAGTAATTCGATATGAAAAGCCCGATAGAGCATATTATTACGTAACCAATGCAAGTTTCACTACTGCCAAGTTTTAGAAATGAACTCGCAGAATATCGTGTGACTTGACTGGCAAACAACCCTACAACAATTTCTGCACTATGTCAAAGTTATTGTGTCACTTCCATAGCAGTGTGTTTGTTTTATTCGCAACGGCAGCAATGCCATCAGAATGCCCAATTTTTTCTAATTCCAAGCGAGCAAAACATCGGATTTTAAGAAAATTGTAAATTAGATACTGAAGTTTGAGCAGTCATGTAACATTTATGGTTTGAGAATATTCATTATTCGCTGTTTAAATAATACATGGATACTTTTTAGGGTTTTTTGAGAAATTAAAAACACTTACGACTAAAAATTAGACAGGCCCTAGATCTGGATTGTATGATTTGATGAAATCTAAAATACACGATGAAATATTTACTCCGGGTACAATTACATAATCAAATTAACAAATTGAATATTAAAAATGCAAATTTTTGTGGCAATTTTATTGAGAATGCACCCGCAAAGCCGAGCTTATTGGCAGCGGTGGAATTTTTGTATGCGTGTGTGAGGTTATCTGCGTATTTAGTATTCATTGATTTTTGTTTATGACCTTATTACCGATCAGTCGATCGCGAGCTATGTCGAAGATTTCAGTCGTTCGCGGTCGAAAGCAGGTTGGTCACACTAGGCTATAGTATACCTTGCAAAACATGAAAAATACCCTGATATAATAACTAACTCGAATATGCACACACTGCGAAAAATTGTCATAAAGCAGTAAGAAATCATAATTTTCAAAAATAAATGACTTTGCAGTCTGTTATACGGGTTAAACATGTTACACATGAAGACATTAGTAGTTAAACATTTACCAGCTGGACGTGTTAAAGACAGCTAGCAAGGCTGTATGCCAAGTTGTTTTATTCAGCACTGACGCTACGAATTTTACTATATGATTTCTTTCATTTTATTGGCATGTAATTATATGTTCAATTAATTTCATAAGTTAAGTTCTATTTTGTTTGCTTGAGAGAGGTCAGTATTGCTGGAAAACGTACCTATTTTTGAAATAAAAGAACGTAAGAAACTGTTATGAAATCTGTACTCACCGATAAAAGCATAACTCAAAAAACTTGAATGTCCCCAATACCATTGCATGAAATCACACATCTTATAGCACTGAAGAGGATTTAGCAATGTATTGACGTAGTTCAAATTTTTATGATAGGCGTTATTAAAATATTCCGAATATAGCTTCCTCAACGAGCAATCATTCATGCTAAGACTTTCCAAAGCGTCCAAGTCCTCAAAAGCATCTCGATCAATGTCATCCAGTCGGTGGTTATGTGAAATATCAAGTGTCTTCACTTTTCGAAGTCCTTTGAACATGTCATCATCTATTTCCTATAAATAAATTTCAATAAGAATATGACATCACAAATTGAGTAGGTACAATGTAAGATATATATTATAGCTGATCATTTACTTCATAGTTTGGTTTCTTCACAATTATTTTACTGCCGCTCGCCCTATGTAGCATCCTCTTGCCTACATCAATAATCTATATCTGTTGTGATAAATATCATTTTATTGATTATTTCACTCACTTGAAGATTACAGGAAGATATAGTAATAAATTGCAAGTTGATATATTCTTTGACATTGTCGACTTCACTCAGCACTGAGCATTTCGTCAGATTTAGAGTTGTCAATGGATGGCTACCATCACTCGGTTCACCTAGATCAAGTTGTCTTAACTGATCGTTATAACTGAACATCAGAGTCTGAAAATAATATTAAAAACTCATGATACTAAGACATTATATTTCGTTATAAATAAAAAAAAGTGCAATTATAAACATTCTATGGCTAATCTGGTAATGCGGAGTTTTTGTAATATAGTTATACAGATCAATAATGAAAATAGATAGCAATCCGTACTGGGTAGGTCCAGTGGTGGGATTCAGCCGGTTCGCACCTGTTCTATAGAACCGCCTCGCGTAATCTTATGAGATCAGCAAACCGGCTAGCATTACTAAAAAAACATATAACAGAACCGGCCGAAAAATATGACTTCTGTTATGGAACCGGCTGACAAAAAAAATTAGAATCCCACCACTGAAAGTTTAAATGAAAGTTAGTACCAAGCTTAATTTGCTTTTTTACTATTTTTTTTAAATTTTTTTCAAAGTACTCACTTTGTTAATTAAACTATCCGTTTAATGTCCTTTTATTTCAAATCCACAGTCAATAAATCTACCCGTGACTAACGACTGAGATTGCAATTTATCTTACAAATTCGTCATTGCCGTCGTATGTTCAAAGACATCATAAAAACTATACACTCAAAACGTATGAATAAATAAAATCGTCGTCACTGAAATAATCAATTTTTAAATAAGAAAACGACCTTGTGACTAAACGACTAATGAAATACATACTGAAGTGTTACCTACCTGTAACATAGAAGCGTCTGCGATAGCGTGTTTTGACACGCTGTATACACTTGTATCTGTTACTTCTAGGTAAGTTAAGTTCTTGGGAATGCTGGATATTGTAGTCAGGTTCTTTGAGTTGTATACTGTAAGTCTTGTTGATCCCGCTGGCAGGCATTCGGGGAAAACCTTTATGTCTAAATATGGAAAAAATTTCGAGAAAAAACATTCAGACGAACTGTTTAATTATTTCAAATTTTCAGCATATTTACATCATCTTTTTGTGCCTAAAGTTTCTGTATAATTTTCCAACACAGATAAGAAGATTTACGTGGTATGACATCGCAGCTTTTTCAAGATTTACATCTACTCTAGGTTTTCTATACGCACTCGATATAAATGACATAAGTGAATCAATTAAGATTGGGTTCCAGTGTCACATCTATATATCTAAAAAGATTTTGTATCAGTATTCCTAAAAATAGCTTATAATCACAAGAAATGATCATGGAACATGTTTCTTGCTAATATGAATATATATATACATAAAGTAACCATAGTTACTACCTTGATCAGGTTAATCTTACCCGTTGACATCATTTTTCATTGAGCAGTGCGCAATATTATAAACAAGCACATCTTATCAGACACCGTGATTCATTAACCAATATCTGTCCATTAACACAAAACGTACGTATACGACGTACTCAAATGACATTAAATTGAACTATGCGTAAAACCAAGATAACCAAATTCAAGCAAAAATCAAGAAAACGAGCAGATAACAAAACACTACTCACTGTTACATGTAACTGTAGCACCGTTGCATTGACACCCGGAAGGGCAGGCACATTGAGAGAAAACTTGTCTTATATTGGTCATACAAAGTATCAGCAGTAAGCACGTGACGTTCGACATGGTTAGTTTGATCATGATGGTTTTGTTTCACTTTTAAATTTGTAAAAAAGAAACTTCAGAAGGATTCTAAGATATATAGTTCTGAAAGGGCAAATTAAAAAATGTTAAAATTAAAATCATATTTTTTTTCGGATTTAATCATTAGCCTAAGGTATATTTCATTTTCTCTTGCTTTCTTTTAAAGCGAATGGAAAACTTGCATTCCTGTTGAAACCTATTGTACTATACTAAATACATTATAATCTGTTGAACTATTGGCATGCTTTCATTAGCACTACCGATTTTAAATGAGTTTCATTTCCTTCGCAGTGGATTCCTATGAATCTGACCAAATCAAATAAATTTTGAAACTGTATTCTTAAGTTTATTTACTCAAACTAGGACCTTCGTCAAAGTAATAATAATGAGTAGCCTAGATAATTTAGATATTAATTTTCAATTTGTCATCTTTATAGTTTATATATTCCTCATACATAATGTAAGGTTCTGTTTTCGTGAATATAATTTAGTTCTCTTGGCTGACTTTCGTCTTAGTTGGTTCTGTATTACTTTTTCTTTTATAAACATCATCGACTACAGTTAACATCTCTACATTCACGGTTTCCAAAGTTCAACTAAACTAAATAAACAATTAGTTAGTACGTAAGTTTTTGTTATCACTTTTGCTAAACTTTATCAAATTTACAACGACCGGGTTGCTTTTTATCTTGGCTTGCTACATTTCAATCCATTTCAACTAAATGCGATATGTGTTTGAAGCAACCTCTTGGTCGATATTTCCTAGGTCATATGATATTAGATGGTGCTGACGCAAGTAATATTTACATTTCTCAAATTAATCATTACGAAGGTTAACGTACTCGTTTTTGTCTTACACAATACAGACGTTATTCACGTTAAATTCGTCAAAACTGGACAATGTGAAGAAAATAACGTTTCTGTCCTAGGATTAAATACTGAGAAAATATACGACCAGTGTTGCAGCGACCTAAGTATACCACTTCCAATACATCAAACTCTATCTTCTTTAATGAAAAATATCAGACCATCCTATCTATGAGTTAATGATTACAAAGATTTGAGTAGGAGGGTATATATTGCGAACAGAACAAATATTGAAAACCTTAATATGCTAGCTCTGTCGGTCCTCTATAGCGACAATTTTTGGAGAACGATGAATGACTATATAACTAACAGTAACATTAACCAACTCAGATTAAAACTATGTATAAAAAAATTTAACATTTACGTTTTCCAACGCGCCAGTCATATGATGCAAAATATTGAACGAAATTGTTTACTTAATCTAAATACAGATGTTGTCGGTATATGAACCGTTTTGTAATTACCCCACCCAGTCTGAACTAGTAGTATTCTATTCGAATAGGGAGGTATTTATTATATCATAGCTTTTATTTAGTATTGGACCATTACTGAAAATTCCCATCATGCTGTTCAGCATGCAGATAAATTACATATTTTTGATCTCTCTCAATTTCCATTGATTTACATAAAATGAAAGAGTAAAGTACCATGAATTTTATATGTTGTATAGTATTTTATGAGTGGTATATGATAATTATAAGATAAACCGTCAAAGCTGTGAAATGCATCGTCTTTGAAATTGTCTGATTAGCACAAATTTTCTCCGTTCTATAGACCTTGACGTTCAAATAAATAGTGTTTCCCATGTATTTTGGATTCAATATGTGTACAAACATCAACAAATGCATAATCATATCTCGAAAGAATGATAAAGAAATCTGATTTTAATTTCTTTATTAGCGATATTGAATATTTTAGATTCGTTGTACGTTTTGTGCGATATTGACTAAGTTTTCAGAGCTTCAGTGGAGCATGAGTGACTAAAATAGCTGCATTATACCATGATTACACTAATAAAGCCATATATTTCTTTGATTACTTTAGGTTTTAATTTGGATTCGAAAAACAAATAGCAATCAGCATATCACAATCACAACTATTTGCCTTTATTTGATTCCTATTACAGAAGACTATTTGCAAAATAGTTTGGAGCAGGATTATTTGTTCTACAGCTTTCATGTTGCCCAGAAACAAACTAACCACCTCAAAACAGATATCCTTAAATTGAAATATTTTACAATGTTCAAAACTGTTAATCGATATTGTAATTTTGAATTTTGAAAAGTGTTTGCTATTACATAAAAAATGGAAATTGCAGGGTCGTTTTTTATTGAGAGTTGATTTTTTTGCCAAGTATGCTAGTAGTCAACGTATTGAACCTATAATACTATTTTGTTTTTCTTTATTTTGTATTTGTTTCCCTTTTTTTTTAATTTTTGTTGTACAGCTTCTTACACAAATATCTTAATCTATTCCCAGTACTACCATTCGACATTATTTTGATGATTGGATTTGGCTCCGGTTGACTAATTGGCGAATATTCATTTCGTGCTTAAGAATTATAGGGCCAATCACTAATCAACCTTTCTAAAATTCTAGATGGATGAATACACGAACGGCCACCGAGTCAATACAATTTAAAACATACTATGAAAATAATTTTGTTTGATTTGTTGCACAATTCGCTTAATCATATATGCCATATATTATATTATTGTAATGAGAATACTGTAATTTGAAAAATATAATACATAGAGAAAGAGATTTATTTTGCATTTCTCTCACCTTTATTTTTTTATGTTTTGAACAAAGTGATAGCATAAAAGTAAATATATAATTTTAACAGCGTCATAAAAAAGGAAAGATGTAGTACATAGATATAAAAATAATACTTAATCATTGATCGTTATTGGCTCAAACAAATGGATATAATGCATGTCAATTGACATGATACTCAACTACTAGGTAACACAATTTATCAGTTTTTAAGCATACATAGTACTTCCAACATTATAGTTTATATAATAACTGAACTATCACAGCACGGTCATGTTATGTTCTTTAGTTATTATATAAAGTTAATAAAATGATGCTTTGGGAAATTGTATAAAAATGTAAAAAAATTGACATTAAAAATTTAATTTAAAGAATTGAAAACTAATTTGACTATTTTGTGCATTATATAAATTATATAAGAAGGTGCACTGGTTTGTTGTAGAACATTTTAGCACACAACATTGCTGTAAAGCTTACACAATAGGCAATGAATTGAAAGACATTTTAGCAAAATGCTTTATTTCTTGCTTAATATGAAAATTAAATTTGGTAAAAGTATCATATCTTGTTCAGCATAGTTGTTTATAGAAACGTTGTTACATCGGATAGTTGTACGAAACTCTGAAACATTGGTGTGAATCTATAACAAGAAGCGATTGCCCAACAATATACATACAAACTATAATTATCTTGAAATTGCAGTTAATTAATGATTACAAATCAGCCACAGAAAAACGAATTTCCATAACATCCGAATAAGTTTTTATCTTTAAAGTCAATTATATATCTCGCCGAGGTGTCTAGACTTCAACTGAATATTTTGACCAGATTCCCAAGATCAGGTGGAATAAAACGCTTTTTCGTTGTTGCACCATTTGAATAAGAAATGACATCATGAAATCCATTGCATAGCAGGCTACGATATTTTTCACGGTAATAATTTTTCACTTGATTGCATCATCGTCAACTGCGCTTCTATTTGAATATGTTTGTGTTTCGCTTACTACATCCTTATACGTTGGTAGTTCGTCCGACTGTTCATCTTTTTCTTCTAGAGTTTCAGTATCGTTTATCTCATCAATTTCAATGATCCAGGTTGAAAAATCTCCTTCAAGTGAGGAATAAGATGGAGGATTGTTTTCCCAAACTTCACTAAGATTGCCTGTCGTAACGCTGAATATTTCTGCTGAACCACTAAAATGTATGATGTGGAATATAAAACACAAAATGAAATAGCAGTACTTAATGAAAGAAAGCACTTTGTAACATTATATATACATATTACAATGAATTTTTAAATTTCACCTCACACTTGACCTTGTATCTCTTACGCCATCGATATTTCCACGACAACAATCAAGAGGATTTGTGCCGCAGCATTTTATGCGATCCCACACGGATAAAAATATCCAAATGAATATAGTTATCAACCCCAAACTGATGAATAATGCTGCAGATATATCTAGAGCATTCACCATGTTATGACCAAATTGGGACGAGTGGTCATGCGCTATTGCATTTGAAACAATACACTTCACATTTAGTTAAAATCTAAACAACAAAGTAGACACAATTCAGTATAAAATATAGCAAGTGAAAACGAACAACAGCAATGTTACTTTTTTATTGTGCTCATACAGATTTGCATTTTTAGGCCTACAAAGATAATTGATAATTTTTTTGAGAGGAATCCCAATTTTGGTCGGGTTGGATTCACCCGAATCAGGACGAACAATTTGGAATGAAAATATGCACACAGCGACAAATTGAAAATTGGGCGTTGGCGCATACTCTATCGGATCCGCGTGAAGCAAATATGATCAATATGATCGAAGTATTTCATGGTGCTTTAATTTCTTCCGATTCTTAGTCGTGTCACTGTGTCACATCAAATTGATTTATTATAGTTACAATCGAAACTTGATCGTCTAATTTCATGTGAACCCATTCGCTAAAAGACAATGTACAAAAATGACGCGACGTTGTTTCACAATGACAGTATTTTATTACAAAAATATTTCAACAATATTTGGCAAGATATGAAATAAACAAATAAAAAATAGTAGGATTAGGCATTTAGGCCAGAGTTGAACATGGTTCATAAATCTGTGAAAGGACTATAGCTTTGAAGAGCACAATAGTATAGTGAAAACAAAAAGAGTGTAATAAAGGTGAAAAGGGGCAAACATCCATACAGATTTAGTAGTAAATGCATTACTAAATCAAGTATATATATATATATATAAGGTACATGCTTAGCACTAAATTGAAGTGTAAAAGTAATAGAATAGCACTCTAAATAAATGGAATTGGTGAGCATTTGACCTATGGTTTGTAAAGGTCAACCACTGCATATTAATCACTTCTTTGAATGATAAAAGTACATTTTACTAAGATATTTGCAGAAAATGCACTTATTTTCGCCGCGATATACTTGGTTTATTATAGGTGTTTAGTTCCGAAATATAAACCCAGTAAATAACAATATTGAAAGTAAATTCGTGTATCAATTTGCAAACGCTCGGACATTCGAAATACTTCGATTTAAGATAAGCCACGACATTGATAAGATGCGTTTCATACTTGCAAGCAAAAAAAAAATTATATGAAGTAATTCGCAGAAAGTGTGCGTGACCGGAAAATATCTTATCGTAGCATATTTTATCGAGAGTTATTTGTTAGCTCAATATCTCAGTCCATACCTAAACTATCGCTCATTGATATTAAGTTTTCCCCTCTTGTTCTTATATATCTCGCTGCGCATATTCGAATAAAACGAATCATTTTGTTCATCTTGTTAAACTGAAGATATCATGTATTTACTGATGTATATGGAGGTGGGGGAGACAAGTCCGTTTCAGAAATGACGCTAACTTGATCCGGCTCATGTTCAAACACAGCATCTTCACTGGTGTCGTCCTCTTGAATGTTAGGTAAAGATCGAACGTCAAGTTCGTCCGGATTAAAAACCGGGTTTTCGCCTTCAAGTTTATCGTTGGCAGATTTCTTACGATTTTCTTCAATAATTTCAGAATACGTTGGCAATTTATCTTCTGGGCCCATGACTTGTTTTCTTCTTTCCCGGCGTCGTCTTTCCGCTTCAGTTTCTAAGATGATATTATTTTCCAAATCTATTGTTGCAATCCCAGACGTGGAATACCTTGGCGGAAGATCCTCGACATCACACGAACCATTGCTAGCACCAACTTGATTACGTGATTGAGCCGCGGCTTGGTCTTGCTGGCGTGAATATATACCTTCTTTACAAATCTCGATAACGCATTTACAAAACGCCAAAAATATGGCAACCAAGAACACAAGTCCAATCAATGGTCCAATGATTTCATACCATTGGAAACCATTCAAAGATGAACCAGAATCAGACGAAGTCGATGTAACGATAGTAGTGCTGACCAATGTCGTTGTTCTGGGTGATGCGTTCATTTTATAATATTTGTTATAAATGAATATGTGTGTAAACGCTAAATAAACATAAAAAAAACATTTTTAAACAGATGTACGACGAATTTAATACAGTACCAGTGTTAGATAGTAAATGGTAGAATATCTCAAAGTTCGCCCGATAATACCGTTATCATCTCATGGTATCAAATGTTAAGTACTTTGGCAGAAATACTAGGTCTGGGTATTTTCGAAACATTGGTGTTTTGAAATCAAAACGAAATTTTGTCTTCAAAAGTTTTGTTATCACGTCACCATGTAAGTGAATCAATTGTTCTGGGCTAGTGGGGCCATATGCATCTGGAATACTTTCGACACAAGTGATGACGTCGACTTATTTATTAGTAAGTCAAAACATGATACCTCGACGAATTTCAGTTTGCGTTTTCTATGACGTCACAATACCCGTTTCAAACGTCGAAACAGCGGCGTTTTGACATATCAGTGTTTCGAAACTCAGCCCCGATAACTTCATTGGGTCAAAATGCCTATCTATAGCATCCTTGATATCAAAAGATTTGTTTTCTATTTTTGGCCAATTGTCAATGATATATTCCTTGACTTCCATCGACTGGCTTACAGCTTACTTGATTTTAATATACTTTCACTTCTTCGTGTATATTGGGAGTTGAAATGAAGCTAAGGGAGATTAAGATATCAAAAACGCCTCTTGTTATGATTGACAAGTACTCTGATATTTTTATAACTGACAATTGATAACAAAACTGCCCTAGTTTACATTAGAAATTTTTTACTATTAGGACTCCAGTCAGATAACATTTTTCTACAGTCTGTAATTTATTGTAAATATAAATGTTATACTCTGCTATAAACTTCGACGCACTTACTTCCCAGTATTCACGACCTATGTATTAAAACACCCCCACCTTTTATCAACGTGGAATCTTGTCTAGTTTACCAAAGTAGGGCACGTGAGGCTAAATATATGACATAACAGTTCAATAAAGTATTATGAACTATTTTATTGGATTAATCATTAGCGAAGTAGAGTCCTCCGTAACTCGTCAACACAACCATTCATTCCGTCGTCCGTACAGGTTGTATGTACACTCCGTAGAATACTATAAAAACTTTTTTATATTTAATAAAATTTCATAGTAATTCATGCACTGCTTTTATTATAGCGAATTAAAATGACTTTGTCTCGTGAATTGGAACGTACCGTTCGGCGTGGTATACCCAAACCATCATTCGACATACCTTACATATATTCGGGGCAACGTCAGACCCAAATCCGGCGTGCTTAAGAGAAAATGGCATGAATATTAATAATATCATATCTTCACATTTTGTCAGCAATATTTTATATTGATACCGGATATTGCTATAACTAGAATTCGCTATTCTACTTCCGCGCCTCTACCAATTCGACGTATTTGTGGTCCAGGTGATGAGCCAGGAACGGGAATATGAAAAGTTATGCAAATAGTAAATATGCTTCTGTAATTATAAAACGATCGTTCATACAATGCAAGTCTATGTTAGTGTAATGGGAAATCCCATATTACTACATAGAATACATATAGTTTGTTTGGTTCGTCAATAAAATACAAAATACACTTTCATAGTGTATAACATGAATTCCCCGAACAACTGCCAGTCCAAACAAAAAAAATATACCAGAGAGTTTAATTCCGCGAAATTATAGGTTACGAATCTACTGCATGCGTATGAACTGCGTACGACTTACTGTAAATGTTAACTTTTTTCTATAATAGAATCGTCAAATTATCCAAAATTCACCTGATAGGTGTGACTATAATGTAAAATGAGGAAAACCACCTGATACAGTTCGGTTATCAATTTAAGTAAGGGTAAGATCAACTAGCATTAACGTATTCGGTCAATTGTTACTTAAACTTACTTTGAATATTCGTCCTCAATATTTTCCGATTAGTGAATAATGATATGATTTTTAAATTAGGAAATGTTTTATATACATCATATATACATTTTCATTCCGTAAGTTTAATTTATCAACCCCATAAATCGAACAAAAGATCCTTTTCGGAATAAAAGAAATATCATCCCATATACAATATACACTATATTTTACTTTCTAATGTAAAATAATAGACTATCATTATCTAAGTTTATACTCTAAAACTAGGGTTAATCTACTACTATGACCGTCGTAAGAGAAATTCACACGACTGTTTCTAAAATTTTCTCCACAAGTTCGTCTAGTCATAGATTGAGCCAAACAAAACAGAACAACCATAGAATATTTATTAATAGAATATTATCGTGATGAGATAGAATATAAAACATTCAGACAGCTGGGTGTGGCATATTTTATTTTCGCATCAAAACTATCGGACGCACCTAAAAGTGATTTGGTACACCTTATAAAAGAATATGATATTCTGTCTTTTCGAAAATACCAGAATCAAAATTTTAAATTAAATTTTTACCTGAAAAATATGTTTCTGACTAGTTTGCATAGGGTTGGTGTTGTTCTGGCACCATAGTATGTAACAAACTCGAATTACGCTAGCTGATTTCCATTGCAAGTACGAGAAAAAACTATAAAACTATTCACGTTTAACAACCAGTTTGTTTTGCATTTTCAGAAAAACACGATGTGACGTAAGATCGCAAATTATGTCATACATAAGAGAGATAAACAAGTTAAGGTAAACAAACACAACATAGGCCGCTCATAAAGTTGCAATGTACACATAAGAACATTTTACAAATATATTTTATACGCTGTCAGAGTCACGTAGACAAGCAATATTCGAACATCATGCATAGTAATTGACGATCATAAGTAATTGTATATTTGGACATACTTCCAATAATATATTACTTTAAAAATGTTCGACTCTGAATTGTATGCCTGGTCGGGAACAAATTAGAATTACATTTTAACAAAAGTAATAATTCTGTGTGATATATAATCCTGTATCGGCAAATATACTTTCGCAATTTCATTTTTAACTTCTAGATTAGCTCAAATGCTTCACAAAAATATTTTACTGTTTGTACTTCAGTTCTGATTTGTAAATTCAGTTTCGAATCGTTTTCTTTGCTCAAATCTTTAAGTCTCTTTAAGAAAACATGAGGAATTTCATTGATAATCAGAACGATTATGGGACATTTACAGTATTTCCCAGATCCCAATACATATTAAAGAATTTTCTGTATAGAATTGAGCTCAGTTGCACTAAATTTTTAATTAATTTTCTCATTGCTTACGTTTGCTTAACCCATAGATTTTAACTAAAAATCTAGGTCAAGCCATTGGAATACTGTGGGAATCAAGTATTTTTTTTGTCAGTATTTTTTATCTTAGATTAAACCGTTCTTGACAAATCAATCGACAGAAAAGTGGCTACACAGAAAATATAATTATATATATTTAAATAATATATATTATATATTGTATATACAGTATAGAGCTATTAATATAGCTCTTAGTATCATAGTAATCAGTATCATTTCATTCGATTGGATTTAAATATTATATGCTGAATAAGGTTACACAAAGAAATGTAATTTGTGTAACCCCATTGCATTTATTAATTCAATTTACCAATCATAACACGATCGAGCACCGTCATCCTAAGAATCATTGTTTGACTTAAGGCAACAAAGCATTACACAAATATCTACGCAGATAATACGCTTGTGACGTAGTATTTTCTCATTTGTATTTTATATGCTTGTCATTAGGTATGATCAGGTATACCGAATTTAAGTGATATATCCAGGAGCATTGTTTTCCTTGCATAAACCCGTAATAGGGAACAATCTGCAATGAGTTAACCATGATCTAACATTTGAAACTTTTTCGAACAGATTTTTCAGTCATGGTTGTAAAAATTTCGTTTTTATGATATCGCCCAGTTTGAAAATTTCCAGAGAAAATTGAGTCATATATTCAAAATGGTCGTCTCGAAAAGATTTATTTTTGTCGCATTAATCAAAAATTAGTCCCGACAACTTGCGTCATCCCATCAGGTTTGCGAGCTTCAGCTCGCACAAAACAATCAAATTGATCATCAATATTTTGCAATGCTTACGCTCTATTAGAATCGTATACAAGATGCTGTCAGTGAAACCCCAATTATTCTGTTTCCCAAAACTCCGACAATTTCATTTTGATAGCTCATTTTTATTATGTCATTTCAATGGCATTTTAGGAATTGAGCAAAAAGTTGATTAAGCAATGTTAGTTGATTTGAATAAAAAAAGATAGTAAGATAACATGGCTCGAATTGAAGTTACAATTACCATAAGCAATTTTACAACAAAGTATTTTATCAACATAAAGATTATAGAGACTCAAAGTCAAAAACATGAAATATGAGACTGTTAAGAGGAAAATAAGTAATCGCCATCGTTTGACATACACACTATAAGAGAAGAAGGAAAGTGAGACACTTCAATATTTACTAGCATTTATGATAGCCTTTGGCTACGACCTGGCTACAAAAACATTGAAAATAACAAAATTGGAATGCTAATGAATTTACAGGCAGAAAAACTAGAAAGAAATATTTCTTGCTTGATGAAAAATGAGATTTTCGCACGAGCCAAGAAAATAAAGTGCAAACTACAATTTATATCTTGTCTTATAAGTTTGAATATTTGGCGTTTAACATGACTCCTGTGTACTTTATATTATTTACAATAAACTAAACAATATCATATAGCGATTAAAAATCTCAATATGTTACAGCGTAGTAATTTACAGAATTCTATCGGAATGTTAATTCAACATGTAATATTTACTTTCCTAATTGTCAGTAGTGTTTCGTAAAATTGTCTAGTCTTCCTTGATAAGAGCAGGGGCATTTTTACGAAATCATAGTTTTTTTTCACAAAGGTATGATAATAGGATAACACAGTTGTTATCATTCAATTTCCCATTGGTATGATACAATTGAACACAATCCTCATTATGATTGTGGTCGTCCGGTTGTTTATAACTCCAGTTAGTATCTGACTCAACATAACATCCACCATCCGCCCAAATAAAACTCTTCTCTTCTATTATGTCATCCAAGCCGATCCAAATGTTTTGTTTAATGCCCATGCTTTGAATCAATTCCCTTCAAAAAATGAATACTAAGTTTGTATTACTGGTATAGTATGTATTAGCTAAGTATTGTGAGAATGTAGAGTGCTGCTTAGTAAGTTAGTTAGTATTAATCACAGTAACTTTTACTTAAATTTGAGAGCATTTGTCCGAATTAAGCGACCAGAAACAATTTGTAAAAAAATGATGTGCAATAACGCATTAGCTACTAGCGGCAATTCCAGTTTTGTTTACATAGAAGAATAACAGAATTAATAAAAAAAATTAGAAAATCAAAATTATTAAACTAATTTGTGGAGATTTATTTTCGAAACTTTGAGCTAAATTATATTTCGATCCTCCAGCGGAGCTGGGCCACAACGTCATTGCCTTAGAATTAGATTGTACAGGGTCAAAAACGCAAATAAAAAAAAAATATGAAGTTTTCACATTTCCAAGCCTGAAGCACTATTTGTTACCATGGGAGGACTACCAAAATTGAGTTTTAATTTTTTTTAAACCTGATAAGTAATAGCGGTAGTAGAAAAGTTTTGATGATTATAACCGAAATTTAATTTTATTAATAAAAGTTACTCATATAGGTATTACATCCGAACGACGAAATCTCGAATTCCGGCAGCAGCGAGAGTTCCTCTTCATTTTCGCAATTTGATTTCGCAGTTTCGTATTTTGCTCCAATGTGTAAAATATTTGTAACAATAATTATTGCTCGCTTTATACCATCCTGGGTGAACATGAAAATTTCTAGAGAAAGCAATCGAAACATCGATTAAAAATCAGATTATGTATCGTCGTATCTGACAAATATATTTCCAATTTTTTTTTTATTTCCAAAAGTAATGTAGTATTAATACTTTCACATGGTAAATCAATTTCTCAACTTCTTGTCGACGTGAAAGTCTACCGAAAAATTTGGGGTTTGTGTATACGCATTGTATGGTTACTTCGTTTTATTATAGATCAATTCTAGTGAAACGTCACAACAGATGAGGTAAGGAAATGGTTTGCGTACTTTGATTGTTCCGACCGCGTGATCTATCGCATACACGACGAACGACATTAAAATATCGTTTCAAAATGACGCGTGCGCGATGGCCAAGTATTTAAAACCGTTAGACCTTTTTTTGGTACCCAAGGTTAAAATACTATAGAGTTAAAATCACATGCCTACTATCTCACTCAGTGTGCATTGTAGGGTAGTCAATGCCCATCCGAGCAAAATTTGACATCTTATGAACTAGAACAAAGTGAATATTTAGGCTGTGAAACTATGGACATACAGCATCAATATTTCGAAAATCAGGCAATAAACTTCGCTTTTATTTATACTATAATTGAACACTAAAGATATCGAATAAAATAATTTTTGTTACAAGTGATTTTTAGTAAGGCATTTTAGTATTCCTATATACACATGTGAATGCTTAACGGGGCTAGTACCATTCGCTATCAATTGTGTTGTTATAGCGATCTCTTGTCCAGGATTGTCAGCCAAAAACTTCAGTAATTTTTTCTCCAATGCTTCTCTCAATTCTGCATCGAAATAAAATATATGCAATAAACTTTGAAAAAATATAAACATGTGGTTGGACAATAAATTGAATTAGAAACTGATCTTTTAAAATAACAACAAAGTAACCAAATACTATAGCTTAGGTTATCTAGGTTCGTAAAATCCATCCTTAATATAAATAATATGATGCTGAATGATGATCGATCTAATAGAGTCTGTAGACCAAACACAATCTGGGAAAATTGATTAAATATGATTGAATAGCTTATATGTTTTTCTTCGATAAATGCCTCATTCACAATTTCTCAATATACTTTAGCAAATTCAAACTGCTTCTTGGGAGTCGGGTAGATTTGCAAGAAATTTCATCAAAAACCGTTGTACTCACCTTGCTCACTTTTAATCTGTAAAAATAAACAAATTTTTGAATTCATAAAAAAAAGAAATTTTAATAAAGTACGAGAGACCGAGTTTTTAGTTGAGTTTCAACTCATGTTAGAAGCCCGTCCAGGCTAGACTGATACATTACTTCATAACTGACTCATAGCACTTTTGCCTACACGTCAGGAGGAAACGATGGTCATTAACACTCCAGTATGCCATACCTCCGCATTAGTCTTTGCAGCACGTTACAAATCGTATCGGATAAAGTTTAGTTAGAACACTACATATGATCAGAGAATTGAAACAAAAAGATTGCGGTATACATAAATGAAACTCTTGCAACTTCAGGGTCTTGCAGTAAATTGGTCAGCCAAGCATGTTTTAACGGCTTGGGAAATCCGGGTATATGGAATATTATTGTACAAGCAAACACGTTTGAATAGAAAGATAAAACCTCGAAGCAATCAATCAGGAAAATTGCCATATTCTGATTTAATTTGCAGGAATTGCATGTTCACATACTTACCGATAAATGATCTTCCTTCTTACAGGAACCTTGGCATCCTCAATAACCAACTGGACATTCGAAAACGGGTCATCTGAAAACGCATTATTGCATTGTAAAAAACATTTTGCTCATTTTCATTCAGTCATTTATTTTCTCCGTACATTCACCATAGATGGGGAAGGTGATGCAATTCATCTTAAGATCTGACGCGGTAAATTTTTATTTTTCAACTGAAGTGAGGCCGAATTCAGATCTACTCATCAAAATATATACACGAGAATATCGGTCAGAGACCGAAGACTTATCGATCAAAAGTTAGGGGATCCCCCAAAATAAAAACTGCGGTTTCGATTCATCCGCTCCCCAGCGATACCGTCCTATCACTAATTATTTTCTAATTATACGACATAATTCATCCAAAATCAGTAGGCTTTTGGTCCGAGATATGATGAATCCACATGCAAAATTTGGAGGAGATTCAACTCCGATTTCGTGAGATATCGCGTAACATAAGAAAGTGTCTAACAGACAAACACACAGACAGACGAAAACCTATCAACATACTTACCGATCTTAAGATCGATGAGTAATACCTAAGTATACTGTACAGTTATGAAGATATTCGGAAACCAATTTCAGCAAACAAAAATTTTTAAACTTGCAAGATTTCTTGAATCATTGGAGCAACAAACTCTTAACACCACACACACAATACTAGACACATCGCTCGGCTTTGCAACCATTATTGTTCTAGTCCCAACTAAAATTAAAAGGAATGCAAACAAGATTGGAGAATATCTTTCATTCTGACAAGACTGACATAGATATTTTTCTCAAATCAAAGAAATCCTACAAATATACATCCAAATGAATATTGACTATGAATGGTTCGATTATATACAGTTAATTTTAATATTCGCAAAAAACTTTTAAAAACTCACCAGCAAAAATGAGACTCGGTTTCAGTATCAAAAAAAATATTAATATCATATTACTTAAAAAGTTCATGTCGGTTAGTTTAGCTGCTCGAAATATACGGAATGAAGGAATTCTTTCTCATTCGACACTCTTCAACACAGCTATTTGGTTTGAACTGACTCGCTGTGAATGGTGGTGGATGTATAATAATGACTAAGTGCATTGCCATAATGAGTAATTTTTCTTCAAATTATCCATATATAATTAGTTGCACGTAGCATAATTCACTTTTTTGAAGCGCATGTATGAACAGGAACTATTTAGTCATGATGCCCATAAAACTTTAGTATCATACTTTTTGCAATTGCCATTACCTTTCCTTACAAGCATTCGTGATTGTCGTAGATTGTTGAGCTGTGTACGCGTTTGCACACGAAATGACTCCATAGATCACTTCCTTCGTCGCACAGATGCCAACCAAGCCAGGTCATGTGCTTGAAATTTCAGTAAACAATAGATGGATTTTGTAATACCTCACTTGACGAACATTCGTGGAAGCATAAAGTGGACCTTTGGAATGTTGCACTAATTATTGTTATTGCGGTTGTGACTGGGAAGCTTTTGTTATTATTGGACCTATCACTCTTATATTTCTGATATTAAAGATGAAACTCCCTCTCGGTTGCATATTATTTAATCAATATCTTTTTTATATTTAATAACTCTCTGTACCCTTTGTGTTACCCATGGTTTTTCTAATGTTCAACAATTGCGCGAATATCACATCACCATTCACGTTCTCAGCGATCAGGTGGGCACCGCCAGATTGATAAATTAAATAATTTGAGAATATTCATATTTATTTGTCGGAAAAATTACAATTTTAATATTTCATGTATACTTTAACTTTCTTTGAGATTTTCGTATGTATTGCCCTTGAGCATATGTGTCCTATTCAATCAAAGGCATGAATGGAATCATTTATACCTGAAGCTTTGGAATAAGCTAAAGCTTGAAATGCGGAGCAAAATTAAAAAAAAAAAAAAAAATCTTTGACGATATGCAGTAGTCAATATTCATCATTTTCATGTCCATATTACCCCAATCAATATCCCGTACTCTACCTGACCCATAACATGAGTTGAATATATCTATATTAGGACTAAAATTTATCTGGACACACTTAAAGAAATATTTGCTTCGTTTTACACGACATATCTGAATCTGAAATACATCTTTTTTCTTTGATACACAATAACGCATTCAGACCACCAACATTGAAAACACGTGAGGTTTATTTCTTTTCGTATTATTCATCTTGAATAAATTGGTCAGAAACTACATGTAAACGCTACTTTTATAATTCATTGATAGGCCATTACTATTATAAATAGTTTATAATGGGAAACAAAAGGTTTTAATATTTATGCTAGCAATATATTATTTCGCAAAATCTTTTTCAGTAATTTAGTTATGCTGAAATAAAACAATTCCCATTTTTCTTAAGTTTGACAGAGGTTTTCTAACCAATACAGATCTTTTTTTTTTCGCGTTTAATCAATTATTTTGTTTTAATATATATACGTCTATAACATTATAGGTCATATATACAAGTATATATAGTAAAAATGTAGTTAACCGTGTGTGGACACTCACTCTCTTTTGTGGGAAAAAGTTAAAACGTCTTTCCATATCCCTAATTTTTTCAAATTTTAAATTTGTTTTTCACATAGATAGTTCATCAGATAGCTACATGGAGCATCATTCAATTTCCATCCATACCCAGGGGAAAAATGTCCACAATCTTCATTGCTATAATTGTCGGGTTGGTTCGTATACCAATCTGTATTCGCTTTAGTAGAGACGACACCATCTGCCCAAATGAAGTTACCCTCCCGCTGAAGATCATTCAAGCCGATCCAAACGTTACTTCCTCCAGATTTTATCAATGAAATCAGTTGACTAAAATTGAAAGATATTGCGCTTAAGTTTGGTTCATCGTTGAATAAACAACCAAATATTCAGCGCCTCTCATCTAATTATACAAAAAATACAAACTTCTACATCAAACTTTATACAGAATTATGCAAATCCCCTGGATTTCTAAATTATTTCTCCAGAAATAAAGAAAATCTATTTGTTTACACTTAAACTTCTGTTTGAGTTCGAATGTACTCTAATTTATAGTAATCAAGGACTACGTTTTGCTTAAAAGTTATTTCGCGGCGTCGTACAGACGCGCGAATTTATCAACTAACTACTCGCAAACATTCTTCTCTTAAGATTTCCTAATATTTACTGCGATTGCAAGCATGCTTCCACGAATTGTTTGAAGATTGTTCTGATAAAAATTGTCTTTTAAATTCCTCGAGCGTTGAAAATATGAGGTCTTCAAGCGGGGTGTTGTTTGATACATAATGCTCTCAAATACGACTCCTTCGAATCCAATATTTGAAATTATGGGTCTTTCTTACTTTTTAGTTTTGAACCATATTCATCTCATTTTAGAGTACAGTGTTTAATTATGCTCCTTCGTGTCTACTATTTAAAATCATTAGTCTTTCTTACCTCCGTACCGTAGAATCGCGGACTCCCGCAGTTGCAAGATTCGCTCCCAATTCTCTTGCAGTTCGATCTAGCTAGTTTCTATAAGTTACCCTTTATAGTGGAACAATTTGTTAGAAAAAATTGTTGCGAGCCTGTTCGCACGGTAAACATCTCTTCTAGATTGCTGATTCTTCGAGTGCAGTTCATTTAATTCTGTTTGAAACATGGTGATATTGACTTTTTATTAAATATTTGAGTGGTAGGTGAATTATGATCATAAAAATCATCAAATATTTCGAAAATTATTTAAAATAAACCTCTCTGTAAATGTTCTATATCATCACGATTTGAGTTCGTCCTCTCCAAAGCTTGAAAATTTTCTGCAAATTTCGTTTCTAGCCCATTTTCAAGAACTGTAAAACAAAGATAGCTTAATGCTATATCAAACGATATTCTTCCAAAAATATGACTCACTAATAGGGCTGTGCGGAGTTATAGATTGCTAATTTTGCTTTGAGAATCGGAAGTGATTTTGCTCAGTGAGTAACAATAAGTAACACCAGATGTTGAACAACGCGAATAAGTAATGTATGTTTTTTGCTGAAGTATGAAGTTACAAATAGTACCCATTTTTAACAAATAGAATAAACCGCTATGCATTTGATTTTGAAAAAATCTTAGTGATAGATCCAGAATCCAAATCAGCATTCGACACATTAAAAAATTACAAACCTGATAAAAAAAATTTTTTTATTGAAGTTTGTCAATAGTCACCTTCGAATTGATTTAAAATAGTCGAATTGATAACTCCGTAGTTCACTATTCCAGGAGGTCCCCTGGGCCCAGCTTTGCCGACTCGTCCTCGTTTTGCAACTTGGTTAGTTCCAGTTGAGAAGTCTTGGCGGTTCATACAATATTGATGCATCTGGTACACCTAAATTGATATATTCTATATTTATATAACCTCATATCGTTTCAGCATAATTGTTGCAATGAAGTATTTATTTTATTTTAGTTCTATGAACACTTGCATATATCAACCGTACTGGCTTCAATTGCACTTTGTAGACAAGTTTCCAATTTTCAATCATAGTATTTCTAAAGTTGGAATATTTAGCAATTACAGTTATTTAGACGGAATTTAGCGGTTATCATTGTATGCAAATAGTAGCGTCATTAATTTGTTCAAGAATGTAGTATTGAGTATTTTGTTTTACCTGCGAACAAAGTCCGATTCCTTCTTGTCCAAAGGAGGATTGCAAAAAGCAGATACAAAGTACAATAAATAATTTTAATAATTTCGCCATGTTTTCAGAGAAAGAACTCAAAAGTCTTTCAATACGAAAATGAAGATATATTGGATTTCAAAAATAAAATGCTTATTAATATTTCAAAACAAAAAACTAAAGCTTGATGACTAAACATAAAATGAGTGAATATAATTTAACCACATCGACTTGATGGAACATCTATTTCTACAGCATTGTGTTATCCATATATACAAAATCAGGGAGACCAAAGTTATCACAAAATGAATCACCTAAAAATATACACCATTGTTTTTTTTGCTCATCCATTTAGGCGAGAGTTAGTAAACGGATAAGAAATTCAATTTTGGATTCTATTTTGAGTATGGAATGAGTAGGTAAAGATTCTAGTCTCTAAATCACGATCTTAATATTTACATACGGTTTTCTTATATATTCAGATTGTCACACGCAAGTAAAAGTTCCCATCTGTATATTTTTAATGGCTCAAATTAGTGCCGCTTACAACTCTGCAACTTAGACGAACCTAATCTGCATCTACGACAAAATATCAACTGATGCTGCTTCCACACTTTCGTTTTTAAATATTATTTTGCAGCATTGTTTACTGGAGAATCGCATTCCTTATGTATTCATGATCTACCAATATGTCTGTTTTTCGTTAAACTTCAGAAAATATCATCTTCAAGATATTTGAAATACTTGGTGCTTGAAAGCTATTTAGTTTTAAATTTTATAAGAAACCATGCTTTATATATCTTTGAATCTTTCATCGTGGCAATCTCGAAACTCCATTGAATATTCATTTGATGCGGGTTATTTATATGAAGAAAGTCGATGTGAATCTTAAAAATTTTTGGTTTAATATAAACCAGATTTGTGTTACAGCATATTGTTGTACCATTTCTTTGAATTGAATTATTTAGAAACACTTTCTGTCTGGGTTCTGTTGAATGTTTCTTTATCACTTAACAGCTGAAAACACCCATTCTAAACAATTCCCACTCCTGTTCATGATAAACATCAAATTTTCTATATCTGTTTGAAGGAAAGATTACCTGATCAAAATTTGGAAGCAAATATTTATAATAAAATTTTGTTTTAGCATGTTACCACCTACCAGTCTCTTTGTAACTGATTGATTTCTGAAATAGCGATTCAATACATCACAATTAAATGTTCTCCCCTGACTCAAATTTTATTAGAGAGCGCGGACTAAAGAATTGAAAAATGGTGTATAGTTAATTTGATAATCACTAATGGACAGTGGTCAATATTTTTTTTTTAATTCTTTTGGTTTGAATTCATATCATCCCACTTTGTACATACAAAATGATTTATACATAGATATAATATAATAATGTTATATTCGAAAGCGAAAACAGAATACTCTTCATTATAAATTGAAAATAACTGCAAACGATAATATTACATGGCCCTTACATGGTTTCGAGCTGTGCAGACCTGTTTTGAGAGATATAGCGTATAGGATGCTATTTTGCAGTTTTTCTCGCATAGAATGCTTTTAATGTGGTTGGAAGCTGACCAAAAAATAGAATTCTCTCCCTTTGAAATCATGAAAAGATTTGCCGTGGCATTATAAACGTTTTCGATAATACATATGTGTGCAAATCCAGGTTTCCGCACATGAACTTTAATAAATTAAGTACACAAAATGATCGGTTGAAGGTATCTCAACATATTGCATCTGTGGGATTCAAATCTCAAACTATTCAAAAACAGGTTTTGATTCCGGCCAATTTCAAGAATTACAAGACTTGAGGAAAAGATGCAGATATTGCCTAAATACGTATGAGCCACAGTCTAATTTTCCATAGTAAAGATATAACCCTTGACCCATTCATTATAAAAGTATCGCTATTTCTGGTCTAGGAACGCTCATCGCATCAATCCAGCCTTTCGATAACGTTTACATTGCATTTGCACTTGAATGAGCCTCAAAAATGAACACAAACAAAGTTTCGAACATACCCATAATTAATGTTGTAACTGGAGATAACAAGATAATTTAGCAGAACAATTTTGTGACAAAATGTTTTAAAGTGAATTACATTTAGCTATATTTTTATGATAAACACGTCATTGTTGTCTAAGATAACGTGACATATTGAGTTCACTAAAATTAACTTTGCTCAGAAAACCTTTTTCGTGAATTTTATTTCTTGGAGACGTTTGGTGGTAATTGCACAAAATGCATCTCAGTCATCTTGAATAAATTTGCCAACAAGGCGTAAACGTAACTTTCATATTTCATTTGACAGATCATTGAATACCATCGCTATGATTGAAATAGTTTATCTTGAGAAAACAAAATGTTTTAATATTCAAAACGTCAGTGTATTATTTTGTAAAAATATTTTTCAGTTATTTTAGTTATGTTCATATTAAAACTTTCTAGCCAATGTCTACTAGATTTTCTCTATCCAACTGGTGACACATATTAATCAAAAGATTTTGTTATCAGTTATATATACATTGATAACGTCACGGAGTCATATAAATAAGTATATATAGTAAAAATGTAATTGTTCTTGTGTGGACACTCACTCTCTTTTGTGGGAGTATGAAAAAAAGTTGAAAAGGTTTTCATTTCCATATCCCGTTTGCAACTTTTAAATTTGTTTTTCACATAGATATTTCTTCAGAAAACGACATGCAGCATCATTCAATTTCCACCCCATTCCAAAAGAAAAATTTACACAATCTTCTACATTTCTCGCATTGTCTGGTTGGTTTGTAGACCAATCACTATTTGCTTTAGTAGAGACGACGCCATCTGCCCAAATGAAGTTCCCCTCCCGCTGAAGATCATCCAAACCGATCCAGACGTCACTTTCTCCAGATTTGATCAACGAAATCAGTTGACTAGAATTGGAAGATAATTATACCAAAATTACAAACTTTCACATCAAACATTATACGGTACACATGGATTTCCCAATATGTCTACGGAAATGAAGATAACTTATTGGTTTACACTTGAACTTCTGTTTGGGTTTGAATGTACTCAAAAGTTTCAGTAATCAGGGACGTTAAACTTAAACTGTATTTATTCTTGACATGTTTCCAGTGACCTCCGCGGCATTAAAGACAAACGTACATCCGCATAGAGAGACGCGCAAAATTATCAACTACTCGCAAACATTTTTCTCTTAAGTTTTACTGCATTTGCAAGCATGATTTCGCGAATTGTTCAAAGATTGTATTTTGTTTTACCTGCGAGCAAAGTCCGACTCCTTCTTGTCCAAAAGAGGATTGCAAAAGGCAGATACAAATCACAAAGAACAATTTTAGTAATTTCGCCATGTTTTCAGAGGAAATACCTTTAGTCTTCCAATAAAAAGAAACAAAGATACATGTGGAGTATCAAAAACAATCTTTTAAATAATTACAAAATCAGTGAGGCCAAGTTATGAATTTCCAAAAAAGATATACTCCTTTTCCGCAAATAGATTTAGTCTAGAATGAATTGGTTGGAGAATGTTGTTAAACGATCAGAAATGTTTAAAATGGGTAAGTGAAGATCATAACTCTAAATCCCAGTTTTGTTAAATATTTAGATTGTCACACGCTAGCAAGCAAAATTTTCCTCTGTATATTTTTTAATAGCTCTAATTAGTGCCGCTTACAACTCTGCAACTCGGACGAACCTAATCTGCATCTACGGCAAAATAACAACTGATGCTGCCTCCACACTTTCGTTTTTAAATATTATTTTGCAGCATTGTTTACTGGAAAATCGCCTTCTTCATGTATTCATGGTTTATCAGTATGTCTGATTTATGTTAAACTTCAGACAATAACATCTTCAAGATATTTGAAATACTTGGAGCTTGAAAACTATTTGATTTTAAATTTTATAGGAAACCATGTCTTATATATTTGAATCTTTCATCGTGGCAATCTCGAAACTCCATTGAAAATTCATTTGATGCGGGTTAATTGTATGGAGAAAATCGATGTGAATCTTAAAAATTTTTGGTTTAATATAAACCAGATTTGTGTTACAGCATATTGTTGTAACATTTCTTTGAATTAAACTATTTAAAAACACTTTTTGAAGGTGGTATCTACAGAAAGGCGTGCTTAGGGAATAAGTAAAATCTCAATGCTTGAAAACGGCAGTCTAATTCTTTATTCCTTTTGCTGTACATAAAAATATCTAAATTCGGATCATTTGTATCGTTAGCGTCTATTCCTTTCTATTTTTGAACTGAACCCGATATTTAGACAGAGAATATGCGCATGAACTCTCGATGACAATATGGTCAATGAAGACAGCCGGGATGGCTTTTAAATGTAGGCCATGTATAACGGCTCAGCACCATACGTGGCGATGCGCTCGTTAGGGTTGATTGGAATAAATAGATCGTACAGGCACTTCATTTTTGATGACAGCGGTACTGTCTGAGTTCCTTTCAAGTTCGAAATGATTGTCCAAAGACGTTTATTGTTGAGTCAAATGGTAGTCAATAATGATGAAATAGTTGTCAAACAGTAATCCGGTAAAATACAGTGCTATTTACACAGGAGGGACCAATAATAACTATACGAAATAACAGGAAATAGAATTATATGATGTAAATTTGAACTACGCCTAATTAATAATACTAAAACCCCCGATTGATTAAGATACAAATTTATACGTCCTACCTCCAGCCGGCCCACGCCGAAAGAGATCCCGCCAACACCAAAATGGTCAGGGTTCAATGCCCTGGTTACCGTTGCCAGTTTAGTTACAATAATAGCGGTCACTGTGTAGAATCATGGTCCCTACACTATGTAATAAAATCGGAAACTGTAAAGTTACAGGATCACAGCTAAAGGGCCGTGTCTTTGGAGACGTCCCGCTTTGGAGGCCAAAAATATGGTAACCCTAGACCTGGCCAATTTTAGGGATTGCAAGACTTGAGGGAAAGATGCAGATATTGCCTAAATACGTATGATCCACAGTCTACTTTTCTATAATACACCTATAATGTTTGACCCATTCATTAAAAACGTATCTCTATTTCTGGCCTAGATGCTATCATAGCCAAAATAAAGCCTTTTAACAAGGCTCACGTTGCATTTCTCGATTGCACAAGTTTTGATTGCACAAAACTAATTTTCTTACTTTGTGCATAAAACTTGAATTAGCCTCCAAATTGAACACAAACAAAGTTAAATTTTTCGAACATACCCATAATTAATGTTGTAATTGGAGATAACAAGATAACTTTGCAGAACAATTTCGTGACAAAATGTTAAAAGTGAATTACATTTAGCTATATTTTTATGATAAACACGTCATTGTTGTCTAAGATTACGTGACATATTCAGTTCACTAAAATTAACTTTGTTCAGAAAACCTTTTTCGTGAATTTTATTTCTTGGAGACGTTTGGTGGTCGTTGCACAAGATAGATACGCTTCAACAAACATAGTCATCAAATTAGACTTTTAAAGACAACGATACAGGTGGAAATGGGAAATAAAATATAAAATTTCATGAAATGAATTCAATTTAGAATAAGTTGGAAAGTGGTTGAATTCAATCAATTGCATCAAGCAACAAAAATGTCTAATATTTTACATCATATAATATATTATCTGTAAAACACGTTTCCTTTATTTCCTGGTCACATCTGCGAGCAAAAAATCCCAATACGTCCAGTAAACTCTAATTCTATCTAAAAAACACTGAAAGAACAATTTTCTGTTTTTTACACAACATAATTAAGATATCTTTTCATTTTATACCTAATAACGCATCAAGACCACTAACATTGAAAGCACGTACGAGTTATTTCTTTTCATCAATCATCTTGAATAAATTTGCCAACAAGGCGTAAACGTAACTTTTCATATTTCATTTGACAGATCATTGAATACCATCGCTATGATTGAAATAGTTTATCATGAGAAAACAAAATGTTTTAATATTCAAAACGTCAGTGTATTATTTTGCAAAAATATTTTTCAGTTATTTTAGTTATGTTCATATTAAAACTTTCTAGCCAATGTCTACTAGATTTTCTCTATCCAACTGGTGACACATATTAATCAAAAGATTTTGTTATCAGTTATATATACATCGATAACGTCACGGAGTCATATAAATAGGTATATATAGTAAAAATGTAATTGTTCTTGTGTGGACACTCACTCTCTTTTGTGGGAGTATGAAAAAAAGTTGAAAAGGTGTTCATTTCCATATCCCGTTTGCATCACTTTTAAATTTGTTTTTCACATAGATATTTCATCAGAAAACGACATGCAGCATCATTCAACTTCCACCCCATCCTAAAAGAAAAATCTACACAATCTTCTTCATTTCTCGCATTGTCTGGTTGGTTTGTAGACCAATCAGTATTTGCTTTAGTAGAGACGACGCCATCTGCCCAAATGAAGTTACCCTCCCGCTGAAGATCATCCAACCCGATCCAGACGTTACTTTCTCCAGATTTGATCAACGAAATTAGTTGACTAGAATTGGAAGATAATTATACCAATAATACAAACTTTCACATCAAACATTATACGGTACACATGGATTTCTCAATATGTCTACGGAAATGAAGATAACTTATTGGTTTACACATGAACTTCTGTTTGGGTTTGAATGTACTTAAAAGTTTCAGTAATCAAGGACGTTTTGCCTAAACGTTATTTATTCTTGACATGTTTCCAGTGACCTCCGCGGCATTAAAGACAAACGTACATCCGCACAGAGAGACGCGCAAAATTATCAACTACTCGAAAACATTTTTCTCTTAAGATTCCTAAGTTTTACTGCATTTGCAAGCATGCCTTCACGGATTGTTCAAAGATTGTTCTGATACAAATTGTCTTTCAAATTCCCTAAGCGTTGAGAATCGGAGGGACTCAAGCGCCGTATTAAGGTACCCCTTCGCGTCACACTTCTTGCAGATACGCCTTTTCTGAAACCGCTTTCTCAGCACCGTAAGATCGTTCGATATTGACGATTTCATACTAGTTTTTAACGCAATACGAACCGATCATGCCATTTTCGGTTCTGATGAAGCGCACTTTCTGCCGTAAGGGCATTTCAATAGCATGAATAGTGTCCAATAAATAGTGATAAAATCTTATATTATTCTTTACACTCAGTAAAATACACGGCATGGGTAGCCAAACACAACACAATCGGTCCGCATTAGTTGTAGAACAAAAATAAAAGAGCTCAAGAGGCGTGCTGAGGATGTTCCGGATATCACTCGAACAACGTAGAAGAATAGACATGGAAGACTAGTATTGTGTTTCCCCGAAAATAAGACCCATCCTGAAATGAAGACCTAGTCTGAATTTCAAGAAAGATTTTAATATAAGCCCTCCCATTAAAATAAGACCTAGTCGATAACGCAATTTTTTTTTACCTGGTCGATAGCAGGAAATCTCGTACATTTTAAATGATTAATCTGAAACGTGTGAGAGAGGAAAACGTATCATTCTAGTGAATAAATATCGGTTTTCCTATTTTTAATCTCCTAATTCAGTACTTTCTAATTTTGTTTTTGATAAAATTATAAGACATCCCCCGAAAATAAGCCCTAGTGTTATTTTTCGAAAGAAAATTGGAATAAGACACTGTCCGTTTCTTCGGGGAAACACGGTAGTACCAGTTAGACCAGGCTATTCTCTACACATTAAATCCCACCCTTGACTTTCTATAGATCAATCTAAAAAAAGGCTGATAACGAGGAAGTGTGACGTCGAGCGGGATAAACATGAATATGCTTTAAAATAAAATAATTCGAACATTTGCAATTGGAAGGTGACCAAAAAATTTGTTTAATGTTTTCAACACTTCCGTTCATTTATAATTGTACAGGAATGTTTTAGTAATTGTTTGATACATATCGCTCTCACGTACAACTCCTTCGAGTCCAATATTTGAAATTTTAAGACTTTCTTACCTTCGTACTGTAGAATCGCGGACTCCCGCAGATGCAAGATTCGCTCCCATTCTCTTGCAGTTCGATCTAGCAGTTTCATAAGTTACTTTATCGTGAAATAATTTGTAGAAAAAATTGTTGCTAGCTCTGTTCCACGTAAACATCTCCTCTAAATTGCTGATTCTTCGAGTGCAGTTCATTAATTCTGTTTGAAACATGGTGATATTGACTTCTTATTCAATATTTGCGTGGTAGGCGAATTATGATCATAAAAATCATCAAATATTACAAAAATTATTTAAAATAAACCTCTCTGTAAATGTTCTATATCATCACGATTTGAGTTCGTCCTCTCCAAAGCTTGAAAATTTTCTGCAAATTTCGTTTCTAGCCCATTTTCAAGAACTATAAAACAAAGATAGCTTCATGTTATATCACACGATATTCTTCCAAAAATGTGACTCACTAATAGGGCTCTGCGAAGTTATAGATGTGGTAAATTTGCATTGAGTCAAAAGGGCATATTCGGAAATAATTTTGATAAGTGAGTAACAACAACTAACACTAGGTGTTGTTAGACGGTTAATACAGCAGGAAAAAAGTTATGTATATTTTTGTGGCTAAAGTATGAAATTACAAATATTACCGATTTTTAACAAATAAAATAAACCGCTATGCATTTAATTTTGTAAAAAGCTTAGTGATAGATCCAGAATCCAAATTGGAATTCGACAAATTAAGAAGTTACAAAACTGACAAAATGACAGAGGAAGTTTGTCAATAGTCACCTTCAAATTGTTTTGAAATAGTCGAATTAATGACTCCGTAGTTTACTACTTCCAGGCGGTCCCCTGGGCCCAGCTTTGCCGATTTGTCCTCCGTTTTTGCAACTTGTTTGTTCCAGTTGAGTAGTCTTGTCGGTTCATACAATATCGATGCATCTGGTAACCCTAACATTGATATATTCTATATTTATATAACCTCATATCGTTTTAGCATAATTGTTGCAAGAAGTATTTATTTTATGGTTTAGTTTCTATGAACACTTGCATATATCAACCGTAATGGCTTCAATTGCACTTTGTAGACAAGTTTCCAATTTTCATTCATAACATTTCTAAAGTTGGAATATTTAGCAATTACAATTATTTGGACGGAGTTTAGCGGTTATCATTGTATGCAATTAGTAGCGTCAATAATTTGTTCAAGAATGTAGTATTGTGTATTTTTGTTTTACCTGCGAAACAAAGTCCGATTCCTTCTTGTCCAAAAGAGGATTGCAAAAGCAGATACAAGTACAAAAAATAATTTAATAATTTCGCCATGTTTTCAGAGAAAGAACTCAAAAGTCTTTCAATACGAAAATGAAGATATATTGGATATCAAAAATAAAATGCTTATTAATATTTCAATACAAAAAACTAAAGCTTGATGACTAAACATAAAATGATTGAATATAATTTAACCACATCGACATGATGGAACATCTATTTCTACAGCATTGTGTTATTAATATATAGAAAATCAGGAAGACCAAAGTTATCTATCACAAAATGAGTCACTTAAAAATATACACCATCATTTTTTTTGCTCATCCATTTAGGCGAGAGTTGGTAAACGGTCAAGAAATTCAATTCGGATTTTATTTTGAGTTTGGAATGAGTAGGTGAAGATTCTCGTCCCTAAATCACGATCTTAATATTTACATACGGTTTTCTTATATATTTAGATTGTCACACGCAAGTAAAAGTTCCCATCTGTATATTTCTAATGGCTCAAATTAGTGCCGCTTACAACTCGGCAACTTAGACGAACCTGATCTGCATCTACGGCAAAATAGCAACTGATGCTGCCTCACACTTCTTCGTTTTAAATATATTTGCAGTTTGTTTACTGGAATCGCCTTCTTTATGTATTCATGATCTGCCAATATGTCTGTTTTTTGTTAAACTTCAGAAAATATCATCTTCAAAATATCTGAAATACTTGGTGCTTGAAAACTATTTATTTTTTAAATTTTATAAGATATCTTTCAATCTTTCATTGTGGCACTCTGGAAACGCCATTAAAAAATCATTTGATCCGGGTTAATTGTATGAAGAAAGTCGATGTGAATCTTAAATATGTTTGGTTTAATATAAACCAGGTTTGTGTTGCAACATATTGTTGTAGCAGTTCTTCTAATTGGATTATTTAACAACACTTTCTTGGCTGGGTTCTTTCATTAATGTTTCTTTATCACTTAACTGTTGATAACATCCCTTCAAAATAAAACTCCTGTTCATGGAAAACATCAAATTTGTTGCATCTGTTTGAAAAAAGGATTACCTGATCAAAATTTGGAAGCAAATATTTATAGTGATAAATTTGTTTGAACATGTTATATCTGTTTTGTTTTAATATATCTGTTTGAAAGCAGGATTAGGTTATCAAAATTTGAAGGCAAATATTTATAATTATAGTTTTATTTGTGCATATTATATAAGCTATTTCAAACTTAGGTTGTGTTAGGCTATATGGGTCTAATGTTGCGATGCATTTTTGTTTTGTAATTTCAAAGATATTTGTAATAGCTATTCAAACTTCACAAATTATTGTTCTTCCTTGATTCAAATTTTATTTGGGAGCGTCCCATTCTGAATGCTTAAGCTTGGGCCGGCCGTGTTAAATGTAAATATATATATGGCCTTAAGAACAAAAAAAATGGTGTATAGGTCATTTGACAATCACTAATGGATATTGCACAATAATTTCGAAAAATTTGATAATTTGTATTTTTAATTTCTTTTGGTGTAAATACATATCATCCCATTCTGTACACACAAAATCAATAAATCATAGATATAATATAATAATGTTTTATTTAATAACATAAACATGATAAAAAAAAACAGCTTATGGCCCGCGAACGATATTTTTTTGCAGCCTTCTCACATTGTTTCAAGCTGTGCAGGCCTGTTTTGAGGGGTATAACAAACAAGATGATATTCTGCAGTGTATTTTTTCTCGCATAGAATGCCTTTATAGCACTTGGAAACCGATCAAAAATTTGAATTTTCTCATAGTGTAACTCCGTCCCATACCTTTTGAAATCATGAAATTATTTGCTGTAGCATTATAAACGTTTTTCGATAATACATATGTGTGCGAATCCGGGTTTCCGCACTTGAATTTCATAAAATTGAGTAACCGAAATCGCCTGATCAGGTAAGTGCAATTTGAAATATCGCATCCGTATAAGATTCTAATCCAAAACTTTTCGATAACAGGCTTCGGTCCGGCTCATTTCAAAGATTACAAAACTTGAGAAAAAGATGCAGCAACAAGATGCACGTATTGCTCAAATACGTATGCCCTTCATGCTTGACCCATCCATTGAAAAAGTATCGCTATTTCTGGCCTATAGACTGTCATCGCATAAATCCAGCCTCTCAATAAGGTTTACGTTGCATTTCTGGATTGTACAAGTTTTGATTGCACAAAACTAATTTTCTTACTTTGTGCATAAAACTTGAATGAGTCTCCAAATTGAACACAAACAAAGTTAAAGTTTTCGAACATACCCATAATTAATGTTGTAATTGGAGATAACAAGATAATTTTGCAGAACAATTTCGTGACAAAATGTATTTAAAGTGGATTACATTTGGATATATTATTGTGGTAAACACATCATTGTTTGCAAAAATAACGTGAAATATTGAGTTCACTGAAACTACCTTTACTCAGAAAATCTTTTTCGTGAATTTTGTTTTTGAAAGCGTTTGACGTTCTTTGCACAAGATGGATACGCTGCAATAAACATAGTCATCAAATTACCCTTTGAAGAGAACGATACAAATGGAAGATGAATAAATATATATAACTTCATGAAATGAATTCAATTTAGATAAGTTGAGAAGTGGTTGAATTTAATCAATTACATTAAACTATTTTGATTGAAGTAAAAAATTTCATTTGATCAAAGTTTCGGGCAATTCAAATATGCTCACATTAGATAAATTCATTTCGTCATTCATTTTTTCTGTCCGACAACACATTGAATCAATAGATTGAGGGGGAAAATATTTAATTGTACGATACATATCTGGCTAAATAAGCCATCATTAAGCACACTGCTATTCCGTAGATTTGACGTGTCTATATTGTCGGGTTTGAGTAATGAAATAACTAATTTGTTTTATTTGATCGTTTTCATCGCTCGTTTTCCACCTCGAGTTACCGGAAAATTGTTATAGAAAATATTTTCTAAAAATTACAAAAAATCTACGTCAAATTGATTAATGATTATATCCATTATTGACCTATTATCAATTTGTGAAATTAACTTTCATCCTTCGTATGAGAACATATTGTGTAAGTCAATTTGTGATCATTTCCCTTCTTATAATTACCGATAAACGATATTTCTTCGGAAAAATCTATAGCAACCTTCAAAAAAACGGGCAAACTGAATTTCATAAGTTTAAAATATTTATGAAGTGCAATATCAGCTTGGTTTCATTTTATCGCTTTATTTATGAGTTTATTTTATGATCAAATATGATGGGCTAAAAATACAATATCAAGATAGAATCAAATTTCCATACATTTTGGATTATACTGTATTAACCCGAGTAGGAGTCAAGTATTGAACTGATCCATGTAAGTGACGTGATACAGGCTTCGCACGGATTTGGAAAGAAATAAAATATTTGGTTTCCGTCAACGTTGATGCAATTTATTGACACTTCAACTCCTATGTATGCTCAACCGTTTCAAATTATTATCTTTTTGGTTTGTTCGGAGAGGATCAAGGTATTAATAGATTGTGTAAAGTTAGCACGTCAACAGCCTTGCCAGATAAAACAATATTATAAAAACTTGATAATAAATAACTCTGATCAGTTGAGTTTAATGCTTTTTTGAAGTGAAGAATTAAACTGTTGGCTGGTGGAAGATATTTTCTGGAAACTAAAGTAACAAGCAAGTTTGCTTATAACAATTTTATAAAATAGAAAATAATAAGCAGTTATGTTTGGTAAAATAAATAAATATTTGACCACAATCGTGAAAATATATGACAATTAAAATTCTAGACACCGTGCCATGCAAAGGATAGTTTCGTTCAGGAAGATTATTATTCATGTAACTGTCTGACTACAAGGTTACGTCGTGCATGAGAAAATAGAAATAGTCGATTTTATCTGTGGCCAGCACTTGAAGTTAATTAGATATTTCGACAAAAAATTATTCCACAATTATGCCATAACTTCGTGACAAATGATGAAAATTATATGTCACCCACAATCGTTCAATATGACGTAAACAACGTAAAATACGTTGTCCAACCTTCAATTAGGTTAATTAATGACCTGCAATTACGGACTTAATATGGTCTTCCAATTTTTACATGATTAAAAAACTTCCATGATATTCCAGACATAAAACTGAGCCAAATCATGTATAAATCATATATATCAAAGACATGGAGTTTTGATTGTTCAAGAATTGCGTCATGTCCAAAACATTTTGTAATTCCAGATATACGAAATCGCTAAAACTGATGGCAATTTTTGATAATTCGAATCGCGTGAGATGACCAATTTTCCAAAATCATTGACTAAAATTTCAATTCGCAAAAATTTATTGTTTTTTTAAATCATTTATCTTGACTGTTGCCATGAGGTTACTCTTTTATTTTATTTTAAATGATCTGTTGACGACCGTGTGCTGAGGACTATTTTCGGTACTCCCGTAGTATGTGAACCAAAATGGCGGACATCGCCATGCAGTATGTGTGCCAGGTTGAAGTTAGGCCATAATTTCAGGTATAAATACTACGGGAGTCACTTGGCTAGTCTAAATAAGAAAAATTAGGATAAAATTATGGCCATGGCCTAACCCTACCTGGTACACATACTACGTTCCGGTGTCCCCTATCTTGGTTCACATACTACGTGAGTACCCTATTTCTGGCATGATTCAACTATGCGTATACCTAACCAGATATCATCACATCATTGTTTTACATATGACAATGAGCTTTAAACTTAACTCCTAACTATTGGATTTATCACATACCAATTTGATGAACAAAAAAATTAGTATTGTGATATCAGTGGAAAAGAGAAAAAGTCTCAATAAAAAATATATAAAATTTCCTTCAAATTCGAGAGAAAAAAAATCGGATAATTAAGATGGTTTTGTGTATAACTATATCAATCAGGTAGTCATATTGTCATTGTTTCAAATTTGCTCCGAGAGTGTGGCTGGCTTTGGCAACATCTGAAAAACCGTGCAAGATGGGAAATGTGTCTCTTTTAACTTCCACACTGCTGTGTATATTCGGATTCACTGCAGGTGAGTTGAATTACTCGCATAAAATTTTCAAATTAAGATGGATTCGTAAGAATAAAACTATTTATTCGACCTTAATTATAATTTCAGTTGAGTTTTCGATTAATTTGATGTTATTCATTTATAGGAATTGTCAATGAGGTAAAGCACCCCATTTAGCCAGTGAAAATATTAGATATATCGATATATATATATAGATATGGGATATAAACTTTGCAATTGGTTATTCATATTACAAAAACTCACCCACTACTCCGAGATTTTTGACTGGGTAAAACCTAATTTATGTGAATCAAATTACCAAAGCACTTTTTATTTAGTATAGTATTTAATGATTCCATGATAATATTTTACTTTCGTCGATGCTTTAAAGTTTAAACAATAACATATTTCATATTGAATATGAATCAAAGAGTCAGGATTACTGAAAAAAGAAACCAAAATACCCTTGTAGAGCGTATTTGTCGCATTTTTCAATAACAAAATGTTTTGTTTCAGCGTACTATGACAACTATGTATCTAAGAAGCAAGGATGCCGGTCTCCAACCCTACCAGACGAACTTTACGCGGCCAACATGCCAGAAGAAATATGCCCAATCGGTACAATATTGAAATTCTCTTGCAGGCCAGAATTTGAACTAAGGGGGCCAAGACAAGCAAAATGCGTTTACGGTAGTCATTGGATGCCACCTAATCTTCCGGTATGCCACGGTAAGAAATCTATCTATATTCTTTCATTAAAAACAGTAGTAGTTAACTTTTGATAAACAATTTTTGTTATTTTTACATTGTACCTGTACTTAATATTTAATTATTTTTATGTACTAAACTCTATTCAAAACTTTTTGTAATTTTTGTATCTACTCACACTAAACTATACACAACAAATTATTTTGCCGTGATATTTATTATTTTGATATCATTGTTGTACTTTAAAGGTTTTAATGATATATTTAATACAGAAATGTAAAATTTTAGTGACACTTTGGTATTTGTTTAACCTCATAGACATTCTCATAGAGTTCAGTTCCTAACCCTAATTAAAATCACTGAGATCCCACAACATTCGAAACTTTAATGTCGACTCTTTGGATTCAATGCTGAGATATTTTCAGCCATCAGAAGCTTGTCCCACTTTGATATTTTCAATTAAACCGAAGCTTTTAAACAGTAACGTAATCACGGATTTTCTACCACTCCTTTTATTAAGTTGTTTTGAACATTTCTCGCAAGTCTAAAATCTCTAAATACATGTAATCTGTTTAAACATAATTTAGAAATTTTAAATCAAAATCACAAATAGAATGTAAGCGAGATTCCAGTATCACGTTCGTCCTTGTACGAAAAGATTTTTTTTCTGTTTATTTAAACCAAATATATTTTTCTGGGTACTCCTGAAGTATGAGCACCAAAATGTCGCATAACCTGAACCCTAACCTGGTACACAACCTGAGTTTAGGTTGTGCGCCATCTTGGTGTGCATACTTCAGGAGGTCCTTTTTCTGTTTATATTTACAATTAATTTGTAGATTTATATTTTTGACAGCGAATTACGATCGGTATTTTCGATGTTCTATGTGTCATAAATAATGGATATAAATTTACTTTCACTTGACTTCAGCTCAAACCGTAGAATAAACTTATTCGTGAAAGATGCTTTGACCATTGTCATAATAATATGATGAGAGCCATAAAATGTTCCTTGGATTTTTTTTTTATTAATACTGGACCAGATGATAAATTGGGCATTGTAATTTAGTTCTTCCATCGAAATACTGACGTAGTACTGTATTGCTACATGTATAATATACGTTTGTAAGTGAAAACGTTATAATACTATCCCCCTCAAAAGCCTTCATATCCACAATACAATACTCCTACTCAGCTCTAATATTAAAACCAACAATTGTTCATTCTAGCAATCAACGCCTGTGCAAATCACCCATGTGGGTACAACGCTGACTGCATCAATGATGGTCAAAGTTATAGATGTGTTTGCAATTCTGGTTACTACATGAAAGACAAGAAATGCCACGGTATGATACATATAAAATACCATATACAAAAAATGATTGTCGTGATTTACATATAGAGCCTCAGAGTAAATTGCAATAAGAAGCTGTTGAAAAATTACCAGTTAACAAACAAGTAAGATATGTTGCTGTTCGCAAAAGTCATTCCTGGCTGCATTCTGCATTCTTTTCGACCAAAAACACAGACAGATAATTATTATTTTAATCAAAACTTATCATACAAATTACACTTGTCAATGTTTTCGAAACAATTTAATTAAGCTGCGACAACTTGGAATGTTATTCAAACTAAATTAATATAATACATATAACCTGAAACCAAACGCGTCTAGACCAAGCGATTAATGCCGGTTTCGTATGGTTTTTTAATCATATGTAATAACAAGAACTGTTTAGGCATTCTTGCTATAACAATGTGAGCAAAAATTATGTCCATAACGTTTTATTTCAATATTCAGCAAAGCTTGCAGTACGATCATATTTAAATTGTTACTAATAAGATCTGTTTGTATATTCAGCACAAGTTTGTTACGCTCCCGGTGTGAAACATGATTGGTCATATTCACCGGTGCACAAGAAGACTTGGCGTGTTGGTCAGACAATTTCTTTTCACTGTCCGACTGGCTATGAACTAATTGGCGTAAAATCTGCCAAATGCCTATTAGGAGGTAAATGGAATCGAGAAGCTCCTGACTGCAGAAAAAGTAAGTCCACTGATTTTTATATAAAACAATGATTCTTGAATTAACATACATTTAACTATCCCATTTGACATTTTTTCACAACCAATCATTTCTAGTAGAGAATGCGCTATTCATGTGACGATTTTTTAAACCAAGTTTGTGATAAAATATTACACCTTCTTAATATAGGTTTTACTATCGTCAAAAACCAAAAGCGCAGCTTGGGAATATTGGACCATTGCGCTTTGTTCTAATCTAACGTCGTGAATCAAATACAAGTTATATTTGCAAAAAAAGTAAATAACAAAATATGTTCTTTAGGAATATTTTGCTCCTTACCTTCACTGCCCAAGTATTGCAGTTACTCGCCAAGATATCAAAAAACATGGTATGCGGGAGGAATGATACATTTTCATTGTCCAACTGGTTACAAATTAGTTGGTCACAGCTACTCAATTTGCGCAAAAGACGGTACATGGACCCAGTCACCCCCTATTTGCGAACGACGTAAGTTTTACATATTTGACATAAAACTATTTTCTATAACTTTAATGTTTTTATTACTTGCAATGCCAATACGTGTGTGATATAATATATACCCGAAAATATATTGTGAATTGATACACAAGCATTGGCAATCTACCTTGCGCTCATTGGCAATGTTTCAGTTTTGGTTTTGTTAAAGAATTAGCTAACTCTATCTTTATTTCTGGTTTTACTAAAATATGGTTAAATTAATAAAACTGTGCAGACAAATAAAATTCCATTAACGTTGATCGCGATGTTTTCATACTTACACTCTTATTGTCGAGCTTATGTTGGGTTCGCATCTGAAAAACGTTTCAAAAGCAACAAATATTTGTCATTTTATAATATTCGTATTTACATCACTGTTTCAGCCGTTTTTTGCCACGTTCCCAATCTGCCAACAAATTGCATGTACTCACCAAAGTATCAGCATTCGTGGAAAGTTGGAGGCAAAATCTTATTTTCGTGTCCAATTAACTACATATTGAAAGGGCATGGGTCCGCAGTGTGCCTTGCAAATGGACAGTGGAATAATTCGCCACCAAGTTGTGAACGAAGTTAGTAATATTAATTAAGAATATTATATGTGTGTATTTAACTTATTACACTCACAAGAATTAGAAATGTTTAGCTATACTTTCATAGCCTGAGGGTGACTGTTCAAACGATTCCAATTTTCAAGAGTTATTCAAATTGTAATAAATCGGGTCATTTTTCCAGTATACTTAATATCGTAAAGAGACCGTACCTGTACTTGTATTCCTTATATGTTCAATAAGAGCCAAGCGGCACAGTCAAATAAATTTCTAATACTTAGTCAAAAATAAAACAAACTTTCTTTCGAGCTCGATATACAAAGATCATAATTTTTTGAGAATGGGTGGCATTTCAGTTTCTTTAAACATTCCACCACTTTTTTGGCAAAATGGTTTCTGGAAATGAGGCACATTTGGGTTTGATAACCTACTTCCGCGCTAACCCGTTTTGATGCGCGATGTCGGCCAAACGTTCACCCTAACATCTTAGCGTCGTAGGAAAGCGCCAACATTGTCAAACGTTATATTTGATATCTTTACAGAAATAATGTGTCGAGTACCACATGTTCCAAAGCGTACTGGATTCTTAGGGAACACTCGTCGACAATGGCGACCTGTTGGTGGACGACTTAGTTTTTCTTGTCCGGACGGATATATATTGAAAGGTCATAATTCTGCAACCTGTACTGCTGAGGGGAAATGGGACAACTCACCCCCAGTTTGCGAAAGACGTGAGTGGAATTATTGTGACTTATTTAATCTCAAGACGGATCTTTACCAATAAGTTAATCTTAGATTCACATAGACTGGCGATTTTGAACTATTGGATATTAGAAATAAGAGGACTCTTAGGCTAGTCAAACCAGATAGATCTCTAAACCACGGTACTTCAATCACAGTTTAGCGCTTACCCATTATTATCGCTGTATAGTTTATGAACAACAAAGAGTTGTTATTATTTGAATGATCGCCACAAATATTGTACTCCATTTTCAGGTCCAACGTGCGCTGTTCCGAATCTGCCAGAACATTGTACATACTATCCAATTCACGCAACCTCCTGGATGGTTGGACACAAAATTCATTTCCATTGTCCCCATGGATACAAGATGCTAGGTCATAGTTATGCTACATGCTTAGAAGATGGGTTATGGGACAACTCACCGCCTACCTGTGAACCACGTAAGTAAAATTACTTGATAGTAGGTACGTTTATATTGGTCACCAGTGGCGCTTTTTAAGGTAGATTATGATTAATTACCACAATGAAAACACATATCAAGTTTTCTACTTGTTTCAGCAACATTGTGTCATGTTCCAACGATGCCGCAGTACTGTAGTTACTCCCCTCGATATCAACGTTCTTGGTATGTTGGACAAAAAATTAAGTTTTATTGCCCGTTTGGATACGTGTTGCAAGGTGATTCGTACGCTAAGTGCAACGAAGGTGGAATCTGGAGCAGTCAGCCGCCAACTTGTTATAAACGTAAGTTTGGAGTTATGCTGTATTAGATCTCGTTTCATCTGCGCGGATCTGACCAATACCTTAGTATCGAAAACTTGCTGATTGTTGTACCTGCGGTTTTGCGATTAGTCAACAAAATTAAATATCGAGATTACAACAAATATTGCTAAAAGAATTTCCAAAATGAATAAATTTCTGCGGGAAAATCTTTTCCGCGAATCACCAAATTTGACACTAATATCGCTTTTCATGCTCTAACCCACTGTCTTAAGAGTTATAAACATCAATCCAGTACATATAATCAAATGCTATTTACCTGTACCTCAAATCAGTTAATTGTGCAAATTCATTGCAGCAACACAATGTTATCTACCCAAGTTGCCCCCGTTTTGTGGATACGCCCCGGCTCGTCAACAATCCTGGAACGTTGGAGACAAAATTACTTTTTTCTGTCCCAGCGGATTCGATTTGAAAGGAGAAACTCAGGCTGCGTGTCAGGACAGTGGGTTGTGGGATAACAGCCCACCAGTGTGCAAAAGACGTAAGTTTCAAAATCTTAATATTCATTTGAACTGATGATTGAAAAGGATTCCACTCCGAACGTAGTGGAAAATTGATGTTCTATTCCTATATTTTATTTTGCAGGGGAAATGTGCCATACACCACATATGTCAAAGTATGGTTCATATTTACCGCCGTTTGGTAAACATTTCGAAATCGGGCACACAATAAAATTCATATGTCCAAAAGGTTTTTCATTGGTGGGAGCTGACCATGCAACTTGCATCGAAGGAGAAAAATGGGACAATCCAACACCTCGTTGTATTCGTAAGTATTTCAAATACATCTAATTTATTGATTGACAAATTAAAGCTTTTTGAAATGCGTTTTCAGCAATATTCAAATTTTCACTCATTTTTTTAGGTTATACGTGCTTACTTCCGAAATTTCCACCGCATTGTTCGTATTTCCCAAGATTTCAAAAATCATGGAGCTCAGGTCACAAAATAAACTTTGTTTGCCCCAGAGGATATGAGATGAAAGGACACAAATATGCAACTTGTTCCGATGAAGGGAAATGGGACAACGTACCACCTACTTGCCATAGTGAGTCGATTGTATGTCGTAAAAACGGCTATAAATTATTATGTTATAAAGAAACTTGTAACTTGCTCTCTTTTGTAATTATTTTTTTTTTATCTTCAATTTAAAATACGTAGTCCAGACTGTCAAATCAGACCAAGTTCTTCTTTTTCTGCAACTAGAAAAAAATTACATATCTCCAAATTCCGGATTTCAGTCGAACGGGTCAAAAGATATGAAGCTGATTGTGATTTCAACACTTTGGTTAACGCATTATTTTATGGCTCTGAATGCAATATAAAATCTCAACAAAATACTTTTTTTATTATTTAAATACTTAACCTTCCTCACTGTACTCCTAAATCTTTGTTTTTGTTCACGTTATCTATATATACTTTAGGAAAACCAGCATATTGTAAAGCTCCCGTTCTGCCCGTGAAATGTAAGATGACATCTCCATATAAACAATACTATCATGAAGGAGAAATAACTCACTTTGCGTGTCCAAAAGGATTTAGACTGAAAGGATACAAAGCTGCAAAATGTCGATATACTGGTCTCTGGTCTAATCCACCGCCAATTTGTTACCGTAAGTTATTGCATTCAACTTAAATAAAAGAATGAACGATTCTTGCTACAACCACCTCTCACTTTTTGTAGGTTACAATTATCAACTTCTAAGGATGGGAAAACGTTACGGCAAATAAATGGTATAAATGTATTGCATCAGGATTACTGAAATGTTCGCTTTTAACAAGAAATCTGACAAGAAGACTCTCTTTTGAAATATATACTTATTCGTTTTACTTTTCAAATCAGAGCATCACATCATATTAGCGTTCAACACATTATAGTTCTACTTCTCGACCACGTTTTCCGATCATGTGCTGTTTTTATTTTCACACGAAATGGTCGGTTGAAAATTTCCCCCACACCCACATCAAGTTCAGAATTGCTCAAAGCAAGTGCACGCTTTCAATAAAATGCGTAAGTGAAAACAAAATAAAAGTGATGAGGCTCACTGAGAAGACGACACAGCACTGAGGCGAAAAGAGCTATGGCAGCCAAAAATGATCCACTAAGAGGAAAGGGTTACATAGAAGTGAAGTACTGCGAAATGTGTGCTTTGAAACAATGAAATGTGATGATCCGAAAAGACAAAATTTATAACTTATATATTATATATATACTTTGCTATACCGCCAGTAATAATTATCTTATGATATATATTTTGAATACTAAATTTAAATTTCTTAACATTTTGTTACTGATTTTGAAAAGAAATACACCGACATGACTCAAAGTTGTATAATTTATCAAAGTTTAAGATTTGATATGAACCTTATCAAGGGTTAGATTCAGAATATGCACCCGTATTGATTTCATCAGAGCTCAAAGACGGGTAGATTATCTGTCATTATCACATCCTGGAAAAATTAGGATTTTTTCATTCATCAAAGTAACTGCTATCTTAATCATGCTGGGATATGACAATACTACTGTTAAAACTGTTACCACGCTTACCATTCCTTTTTCGTGGCCCACGACTCACATGCCCCCTATGATAGCGTTATAACAACACCGTGAAATGCTGGCAGTCCCAGTGCGATTAAATTTTAAGCTGTTGGGTTGAGGCCTCGTCGGAATGTTTCACCGTGCATTTTGTCATAATGAAATGGGACTCTGCACGTGCATGTACATAACTTCACCAAAAACTTCAACACTATCAAGGGTGTTTTGAATTTCGAACGAAGCACTTGCTCAGCTACTAAATCTTGAATATATGTACATACTACCAACCACCGCTTCTGAAGTGTTTTTAAATATTTTTGAGACGATGACTATAGGATTCCTACGAAGTTTATTCTACATGCAGAATTTAAAATAACCCAGACTACAGTCCAATACATTTAGCTCATTACCGAGAAAACTCATTTTGATTACTCACACAAAAAAGACAGCACAGAATAACCAGAAAAATCCAAAACGCTGATGATCATTGTTTACTTTAGGACCAAAAATATAATCAACACAAACTTTCGGATTAAAATATAAAACTCGAAATTTGTTGGGCGTAATTTCCCCGTCAAATACAATGTTTCACCTGAATATCAAAGACAAATGATGATAGAAATTCGAGAACAACTTGTCAATAATGATGGGGGAAATTAACAATTTATCATATATATATCGATTGGGGACAAAAACGGTCCGCAACCTGAATAGTCAAAAGAGGCCCTGTCTCGACAGCAAAGAATGTAGAGTTGAGTCAAGATTCAGACTTCATGTGGCATGTATATGTAACCTGCAACTGTTAACTGTAGCAAATTTGAAACTTGAGATATGCTTACCATTATGGTATCATTTGTGAAACTTACTTTTCCTGTAGGCCTACAGCGGGTTCGTTCTTGTTAGCGTGTATTTTTCTGGCAACACTATTTAATATCATACTTCACTTTCGTTATCTTGCCGTCGTGAATAGGCCTATATTCAGTGGCGGGATTCAAACAGAACATTGACAGTAATCAGTAAAGCTAACCGGTTCGCTGATCTCATAAAATTCCCTGAGACGGTTCTATAGAACCGGTGCGAACCGGCTGAATCCCACTACTGCCTATATTTGTTTATCGGTACTCCATCTTTATATGACAAATACAGTATCACAGTACCTTGTTGTGTTCATATGCTACGGGCTGCTGCTTCGATACGGTTGACATATTTATGATTTGGTTCTTTGTCAATCTATATTTACTGTAAACATGCAAAGTGACGAGGAGATTTCGTACTCAACTATGATATATACACACGCACGCTCCTCTTCGACCTATTTTTGACTGACTTTGGTTGAAAGAAGACAGCCATGCTTAAAGTTTCGATTTCAAAATTACTCACAATCAGATTAATCCTGCTTTTTTCTTTGTTTGTTAATATAGATTCGATGTCATTTGCAAAACTTTTGGCTTTTGGAGAATTGGCATTCACATAGTTTAGGTCATATGGAAATACTAATGTACATACGCAAATGCACCGTCAATATACTGGAAGGTATACATTTAACTCACACTCATCTACGATATCAAGAGAACGCGTTAAGAACTAAAATATTTGGAACATTGGTATTAGTATTTTATTTTCAACTTACAAAACAACGACATGACATTTTAAAACAAGATATATATATATATGTATCATGAAAGCAGATGGATTTAAAATAAAAACAATAAAAAAAATCAATACTTATGGCAATCGGAAACGTATGATTACAAAAACAAATGATGCTAGTATGAAATATCACCAAAAGCATTTTTTCAGTTCAACGCAACTAACATCATATCTGGAATTTGGCAGCTGTCTGCTAGTTCAAAATTAGAAAGTGGCTGTAATTGTTGCCATTTTCAGATAATGGTGTGAATTTTCAAAGATGAGTAATTAAATAAAATCAATACAAATTGGTTTTTGAGTTTCATTTGACGCCACCATGATTAATTGTGGAGGTAGTTCAGGAATGCCCATCCTTCATGTTTGATGAATGTTCTTTTGGATCACTGCAATACATTTTATAGTCTTGACAACAGTTCTTCCCGAAACGAGTCGCACAAAGGTCATCGCATGAACATTTATTATGATTGTTCATTGCTGCACCACATCTGTTTTTGCACGTTCCCAATGCTGAAATTGTAATGAAATCATTAAATTCACAGAAACAACAGCATACAGTTTTATATTTAATAAATAAATTCATAATACATTGTTTATTAAAATTGATCTATTTACGAACCAATAAAAATATATAATAGGTTCATCGGTAAATCACATGGTATGTTGTACATAAATGTTTTTGTACTCGAGTGTAAAATAAATTAAGAAGATATAACTTAACATGGAGTTCATTGCCATTTTCTGGCAAGAAAAATATTTAAACGAAAATGGTGGTAAACAAAATACAGACATCAATTTGATATCTCCATTATGAGTTGTAGGTGGTTCCCAGTTGATCATTGAATTCAATTAATAAAAATTGATTGCAATATTAATTTGTGTTGACTTTGTATTTAGGTATCGCAATCATTTCATTTATTCTAAAATAACTTTACACAGACTTACTGCACTTCATTTTATAATCATTACAACAATCTCCTCTGTTTTGACATTCTTCATCACATTGACAAGGACGGCCCCTGATTCTTGGAAAATGGCAGTTTTCGTGGCAAATGGGCTCTAAAAGATTGATATAAAAACTTTAGAGAAAGGTTATAAACTCTTCGAATGACAACATATAATTGGAAATAAAATTTCATGTAAACTATATGGCATGAAAAAAACAAAAAAATTAGCATTAGCGAAGAGTGAAATTTGAAAAGATATTTGCACTTAAATGTGCTCATGTGTGGCAATTGACAATCGCGGAAGATCGTTTTTCGACACAAGGAAAGACAGTAATTCGAAAAGATAGATTGAAATTTGCATTTAAAACGCCGACAATCTTGCACAGAATGAATTACACACAAAAAATTTCAACAATACATAAAAACGTTGGAATTTTACAGAAAGATGATATATATAGCGAATTCGATGTGATGAATCAACAATCCCTTTACTTATGTTCACTGGTTTATGAAACCTGCATGTACTGGTTCACTGGTTACAGCTTTCCGTACATAACAGTCTTACCTTGTCAATTGTATCTCATACTCTATTTATACATTCTTCATTGCAAATCATACTGTGTTAAAATAAAATGAATTGCAAAAGTCATATATTTTATACATACCGGCACAGGTTGGGGGTGGATTATTCCATTCGCCATTTCCTTGGCAAACAGCAAAACTTTTTCCAACTATAGTATAATGTTCATCACATTGAAAATCCATTACTTCGCCTACACGCCAGTCACGTCCAGAAGAAATAACTCTTCCATTGGATGGTGATCTTGGTTGTTGGCATAGAATTGCTTATGAAATAGATTACAATGTTTCAGTTTCGTTCATTTGATTTATCTTTCAGTTTCATTCCCTTTTAAAGTTAATTATTGTTGAATACGAGGTAATGCTAAAAAGAAACGGGACTGACGTCACAGATTGCGCAACGCGATTAACCATTGGTAATCAACACTTTTGCAGTGTGGCGTAATATGTGTTCTTTGTTTAACAGCTGTTTTGACACAATATTGCAATTATTTTTGATTTTCAGGATCCATAAGTGGATGTGATAAATTTCTTGTTGAAAAAAAAAATGCTGTGCGAGGTCTGATTGAGTTTTTTGGCGATAGGGGGTTCAATTAAAGAATGACGACTGAGCAAAGAATTAACATTAAATTTTGTGTCAAACTTGGAAAAACGGCGATGAGACTTTGCAGATGTTGCCTGATGTTTATGGAGATTCTTCCATGTCCAGAACAAGAGTTTTTGAATGGCACAAGCGATTTGTGGAAGGCAGGGAGGATGTTGAGGATGATCCGAGGTCAGGGAGGCCTTGCACTTCCACTACTAATACTAACATCGAAAAGGTTTGGCAGTGACCGTCGCTTAACAATTCGCGTCATTGCCAACGAAATTGGGATGGACAAAGAAACGGTCCGCACCATTTTGGTTGACACTTTGGGAATGCGAAAGGTGTGTGCCAAAATGATGCCAAAGGCTCTTGAGTTGACTGAGGAGCAGAAAGCTCAACGATTGAATGCATGCCGAGTTGACATGCATTTTTCCAAGTTTGACACAAAATTTAATGTTAATTCTTTGCTCAATCGTCATTCTGCAATTGAACCCCCTATCGCAAAAAAACTCAATCAGACCTCGCACAGCATTTTTTTTTTTCAACAAGAAATTTATCACATTCACTTATGTTGCGATATTGTGTCAAAACAACTGTTAAACACAGAACACATATTACGCCACACTGCAAAAGTGTTGATTACCGATGGTCAATCGTGTTGTGCAATCTGTGACGTCAGTCCCGTTTCCTTTTAGCCGCACCTCGTAGACCACAAATTGATCATATCAATTGGGAGACCTCAGACAATGCGTTACTAATACAATTTGCGATTTATTGAGATGTCTGCATCACTGTTTTTTAAATGGTACTAAATCTGATGTCCTGTCCATACTGCTAGAATACTTGCTTGTAGAACGTACCTTTGCATTCCGGCACCGCTCCAATGTATGAGCCATCTTCTCCGCATTTAATAGAATCCACACCAACCATTCTATATCCAGTTCTACATCGATACGTTACAACATTTTCAAAAACTACCATTCCTCCGAAATTGGTTGTTGTAAAACCATTACGAAGAGTTGGCGGTGGTTTACACTTCACAACTGAAAGTTGAAGATATTGTTTACAAAACCTGGCCCAAAATTTATCTTAACAAAATATTTGAGGTAACCGTCTGACCACTGTTTTATTTTTTTAAATCTAACAAACGTGTGAGAGATACTGGACAATTTTCAGATATATGACACAAATACGCTATTTAGGTAATTTAATACGAAAAATTGCAAACTTGTAAAAAATTTAAAGAACAAAAAGAATTGTTATATTGTCCAATCAAATTAGTCTTTCACAGTCATACCTTCACATTCAGCGAGGTGTTTTTCAAACGTCCCATCAGGTAGACATGAAGTATGAGTAGGACCAGTTCGTCTGTATCCAGTAAAACAGTTGTAGTCTATTTTCTGCCCACAAGTATAATTTTTCTGAAGCGGCTCTAGAGTTCCAAAGTTTGGAATAGTAGGAAAGTGCAGACACATCTTTGCTAAAAATTGAATTTGTCGTTGTAATAAGGAATAGAAGTACTGCGTTAGAGTTTTGCTGTTATCATCGTTACAAAACTATCAATAGTCGTATGTATATGGCTTGTTCACGCGACTCAAAAGTGCAGAAATATCAATTGTTTCCTTCGACCATATGCATATTTAGATAAGATTCGATTAGTGTAAAACGAGTTAAATTTAGGGGGAATTCTAATCATCCGTTGAAATAATGAATCATCATTATTAGGTTTTTTACTAAATATTCATTTTAATATGACGTTATAATACTTCTATCTAATATTTCAGTGTTTGGGTGAAAGAGCATAATAGCAAAAGTTATCAAACTCACGTTCACATGATGGTACCTCTTGCGAGAAAAGTCCATTGGGCATACAAATTGCTGTTTTACTTCCGACCAGTTCATAACATTCGTCCTTGCATGAAAATTCTATTATTTCACCACCGTTATAATTTGCTCGACGTGGCACGGTCGATCCACCATCAGGTGTTCCTGGATAGCTGCACTTCACGCCTGTTGTTTTTTTATTAAAAATGAATACCTAATCAAGTAACTATACAAAAATTAATTACATGGTATATATCGTTTAGTGTCATCACTTTTGAAGAACGAAATTAACAAAACTAAGATTTAAAAAGTTTCGGTTGCATTACAATGTCGTTAAGTTAAAACTAGTATTTAAAGCGCAAATGATTGTTTATCAAATGTAGCTCGTGTAATTGTGTCAATAATTGGCTTCTTAATGCAAGGACTCAAAAAACTAATTGCCGCAAAACACAAGAAAAATTTTTTTTTTCAAATTCACGATATAATTTGAAGCACAATCAATTTGAAGCAATAAGTTTAAAGACGTATAAACAAAATAAGCGAGTGACACTTTTTGAACTTCTTGAACTTTGCACTCTATCGTTCTTTAAATTCTTGTTACCGATTCACGAAATTCAAAATTTTAATACGATGCACAGGAATGTATCAACATAACTACACTCTAAATTTGATGCCAGCAAAATTGCCAATCTCCAATTCCAGAGTTCCACACAAGCCCAACAACAAGCAAGGCCCTCATATCTACATTATTTTCCAGGCTACAAACAAATTACAAACACTACTCAGAAAAAATAAACTTGACTATGACTATGACTCGAGTTGAGCTAAAAGTTATGGTGGAGTATATACAAATTTTTGTAATGCAACGATCGTAAATATTATTTGTTGGAAACTTGGACAGAGCGCACTTGATGGAATCAATTACATTTTACCAAAGCAAAAGTAGTAAAACAGGAGAAATTACATGTAATACTTGTTTTCAAATACAATATTTCAATTTTAATAATAACGCGATACTGTCATTGTCCTTCGTGTACTTCTTATTACTTACTAGTACATGAAGGTGGCTGAGCTGAAAATTGTCCATTGTTACGACATCTTGCCGTTTTCTCGCCAATAAGTTGATAACCTTCATCACACCTGTATTCCACCACTTCGTCAGTGTCATAAAATTGCTTAGAAGGAATTGTCTTGCCATTAATAGCTTGACCGGGATTGAGACATCTCGACGCTGTTAAATTGAATTGTAAGCTATAATGGTAATGTTACGATATTCATATAATTATATTTATAAAAAAAAACATTGCGTATGTTATACAAGACTTAATTTTTTTACTAATTGACACAATTTTATACCTATTTATAATTAAAATCGATCTACAAATTTAATATTGCCGTTGCACAGTGGATAAGCAAGTGGTTGCAGCAAGGCAGATCATTGCGCCCTATCGTATTTGTAGTATATATGGGTATTCTATCTGTCGGTTGTTTTTCAAATTTATCATCATTTTTTTCGCATTACACAATAAGCTGTAAATTCTACGTTTTTAGTATAATCAAATGAAACGTCTTACGTTCACACGTAGGTAAAGTCTCAGAAAATTCCTCCGACTCCAAACAAAATGCAGAATTTGGTCCTATTATTCTATAACCATCTTCGCATTCAAATCGAACACTTTCATTGATAAGATAAGTAGCTTTACGAGGTAGAGTTTTTCCATTGATGGGGTTACCGAGGAACCCGCATGATTTCACTCCTGTGAATAAAAGAAAATCAAAGATAGTAAAACAAAACTAACGTTTGTTCAATGAAATATCAAGTTTGCTTTATTTTGTAATTAGCTTAAGAATATTTGAATATGACAAGAAAAAACGCTAATGAGTAGTTTATGTTTTATTATACAAATGCTAATGATTAAGCAGGTTTTATGTTATGACTTTCAGAAAGTTAGTTTCCTTTTTAACTCCAACAGCTGTGATATGAATTGACTTGTGTGATTTACAAGCCACGTCATCAAAATATAAATGTAATGTAAATTAAGTTTAAAACATTATTCGAGATTTGTAATCAATTTCATTAGGAATGGCAACATTAGTTGAGGGTTGATAATATTGGCCTTGATTTTTAAATGCGAACATGAAATAAGCATCAGCAAATTTATACTAATGATATATTGCATAAATAGCTAAATATATTGCCTCGACATCATTCCTAAACAGATACGATATATATGAAATGACATATTCAATTTGTTCTCACTTCTACACGTGGGTGCGGGCGATGAGAATTCACCGTTCGGTGAGCATCTTGAATTTGGTTCCCCAATTATTTGATATCCTTCATCACACTCGAAATTTATTATGTCGTTCAAGTCATAAGACGACTTTAGAGGTGTTATGCGGCCATTGATTGGTTCTTTTAGGGGATCGCAACTGGCTTCTGAATAAAACAATTTGCAATGTGACAATTGGTTTTGTGACACGGAAAAAGTTTATTTGGTATAATAAAGATGCAAGAACGCTTAGAAATTGAAGATTTAGATTTTGACAAAAATCTTATTTTGTTCCTCATGGTAGAGAGATGTCGATTACAAAGACGGTAAACTGAGATTCGTTGAGCTTGACCAATAACTTTTCATAGTGCGATTTATGTAGTTGCCATGAAAAGTCTGCGAAAGTGATCAGGCAGACGCAAAAAGCTGTATAGTTCTTAGTAAAACAGATGAGGCATTCCAGTTGCTCTATCTATGAGGTAATGAATTTTATGTATTGTATCACGTGTATAAAATTTACAATGCGGCATTTATTTTTGTTCATATAAATATAAACAAAATATTTCAAAAATTGCTAATAGTTTGAGTTCATTTAGAACACTTTTTTCTTTTTTACAACTTACGTTTGCATAGAGGTAGAGATTCCGAGAAGTCTCCACTTCTGGTACAAACTGATGTATCATCTCCAACCATGATGTAACCTTTGTCACATTCATATTCAACTCTTTCATTTAGTTTATAAGACGGTTTTCTGGGTACTGTCTTTCCATTGACAGGCGTGCCCGGAAATCGACATGTAATTCCTAAGATAAAACAACGATTATTTCAGATAATCTTATTCCATCATATTACATTTCAGCAAAGCTACTTTTCGTGACATAAAAAGCGTGCACGTTTTTTTAAATCTTCCATAAAATATAGCAAATTTTAAAATTATTATATTACAGTTAAACATATCATTTAACTAATGACAAAAATTTAATTTGAGTTCGGAACTATTTTGTCAGGATTAAAAACATGATACGATTTCTTAAAAATGTGTAACGAGAAGTATTGCTGGAATTATACAGAAAAATGAGGCATTCAAACTCCTATAATAAAATGAGTGGTTTACTAGAAAATAAGAAAGCTTTTTTGCACACATTTATTATCAAAGCTATGAAAATATCATTCTGGACAATTTCGTTATATATATCTTATTAATGTGTAGTTAAAGTTTCAAAGTTCTAAACATAGTTTATTAAAATATTCAAAATATTTTTATAGTGTTCGGTTTCCTAAAACGCATTTTATACAACTTATCTGGTATTCAAGGAAGATGGCACGGAATGGTTTGAGAAAACATCGTGTTAGCTCAATCCAAATACAAGCTTAAGTGTGTCGATACAATACGATTACTCCGAAATTTTTATGTAAAATCACACAAATAGCAAGCACGGTAAATTTTTGTAAAAGTATTACTTTATCAAACTTACTTTCACAGACTGGAACAGGATTTGTGAATATTCCTTTTTCACACGTTGTTGTTTGAGACCCTTGTATGATGAATCCATCATTACAAAAATATTTGATCGATTGTCCAGCAGAGTAAGTTGGCAGATCAGGAAACATATCTCCATTTGATAAACGTCCAGGATTTTTACATGTTTCCACTGAAAATAAAGTTCATTACATTAATTTCTGTCGTTTTCAGCTCAAAATTTCAACAAATAAAGTTACATTAATAGACAAATAGTGGCCAAAATAACTGAAATCAAAAACCTTTTGCCTTTGGGGCATATTGCCTATGAACTTTTTTTTATAATTTGCTCAAAAAGATATGAACTTCGAAGATTAATTAACATACCCCACGTTTGGTAGCGCGTGCAATTAAAACTCGCATATACCCAGGTTCAAAACATAAGAGGTCATGCGTTTGAATGGTCTCCGTGTACAACGGCTTCTTCCTAGTTACCCTGATAGGGAAAACTTGATACCAATCGATAAAATTGATTCTAACAAAAAACTAAATTCAATAAAGTAACTTCGCTGATTGCCTGTGTATCTTTTATTTTATGGAAAACAAAGATATTTATTAATTTTAAGTAAATTAGACTCACTTCGGCAAACAGGTCTTGGATCTGAAAATCGTCCATTTTCTTCACAAATTGCTGACTTAGCTCCTTCTAATCTATAACCTGACATGCAGGAAAATGTAATCTCTTGACCGACCGAATATATTGGATAGTTTGGTTCAATGCTTCCTCCTTCAAATAACCCAGGATTACGGCAAGTGGATCCTGAAATAATGATAAAGAAATTATAGCGATATGATTTTATATTACATTTTACTATTATATTAACGGGGAATGGTGAAGTAAAATCCACGATTTTTATAATGCCTTAAAATGGAGAAAACTCCTCCCGGTTGCCTAAAATATTTCATGCTTACATATAGGATAGTCTTTTCGGAAGAGATGTTGATGTAATGTATGTAAAACACCACATAGAATTATTCATAAAACAAACATATTATAGGACTGTATTTAATATGTTGTGGCATAGGAGAATCTTTCTCCCAAAACATATATGATACAAATATTTGTAAACAAAGACACTTGGTTAAGTTATAGAATATTAAAATAGTCGTCATACGTCGTTCACATGTAGGTACGGGATTTGTAAAGCTTCCGTCATTATTGCACTTTGTTGTTTCAAATCCATCTAGATTATATTCTCTGGAACAACTGAAAGTTATTGTTTGCCCAATAGAATAAGTGACGTAATCCGGCGTCATGGTTCCGAAATCTGGTTTTCCTGGATTTCTGCACATCGTTCCTGGAGAAGGTGTATATAAATACATTTTTTAAGACAATTTGACAGTAGGCTAAATGCGTTCAGGAAATACCACAAGAAAAATTACACTGTTTACTAAACAAAATGCGTCAAGAAAAATCACAATGTTTGCTAAACGAGATGCGTCCTAGATCCCGATTTAAATTTTACATTCATCGACCTCTGCAGAATTTTATAAAATTGAACTTGGTGATTATCTTCAAGAAAGACAAAACTATCAAGATGTTTCAGAATCAAAATAAAATTAAAAGAAATTTTTAAAAATACATACTTTCACATTTCGGCACTGGATCTTCGAATTGTCCGTTATAATCACACATCGTAGTCTCGACTCCTTTGATTTTATAACCATCATTGCAAGAGAACACCACATTTTGACTCACCGTGTATCTTGGAATATCTGGACTTATTGAACCAAAGATTGGTGTACCGGGGTGGTTACAAGTAACACCTTAAACGCAAAATCAAAAACTATTATGGAAAGATTCATAATCTGTTGTAATAAATACATAAATGAGCCAATTATTTTAAATTATGTAAAGTCAATAATTTTGACTATATTTTACAAATTTAGATGGTGGTTAACAAGGAGTAAAAAAATTTGCATTTGAATACGCTTTTCTAATGTTCCTCGCAGATAAAATTAATAGTAAAATTATAATAATAATAATAGTAATAATAAGTAATACTTCTGCATGTCGGTAGTATTTCAGAAAATCTTCCCGCCGTGGAACATCTCGCCATCACGGCGCCAAATATAACATATCCTTTGTCACACTGGAAAGTAACTTGTTCTCCCGTCGAATAAGAATCTTTCTTAGGCAATGTTGCTCCATTAGTTGGATTTCCTGGATAATTGCACGTGACGACCTTCACTGAAAATTGAAAAAAATTGTTTTTAGAAGGCTATAAAAGGAACTAATGGACTTCAATGTCAATATTTTGCGATTTTTAATCTTATTTCCGCTCAGTTATTCCAAATAAAGCTTCAGAAAATCGATCGTATGCTGCTGGGTTTTGGATGAATCGTTAAATTCTTCTTCACCTGATCGTAGTTCGCAGTTATTTTCTGTGGATAAGGATTACTTTCCATTCGTCAATGCTAACACCGAGGAGAAATGCTACAGTTCAGCAAAGTTTCTAGTACGTAATAAGTAGGGAATACCTGATATTTGCAAGGCCTAATACTCACATTCGCAAGTAGGTACAATCCCACTAAATTGACCATTTTCTCCGCATTCATCCGTGTCTTCACCAATCAATTCGTATCCAATCAAACAAGCGTATCTTACTTTCTGTCCGACAGTATATATTGGAAGAACGGGAGACACAAAACCGTATTCTAGTGGCTTTGGATGTCGACAGGTCTTTCCTTGAATAAAGAAAAATTCGGGTGTGTTGAGTTCATAGTTACACATTCCACATAGAAATTTATACAGATAATATAAATTTGACTCAACTTGAGTCAATTTGACTCAACTTGAGATTTTGACATGAGAAAGATTTTAAACAACTCGGCAAATGAGAGGGTTTCCCGTGTATTGCATATTGTCATGGAGCCCCTGATTCATTTTATATAATTCAACTTACTTCTGCACAATGGAGGTGGGTTTGTAAATCTACCGCTGTTGTCACATTTTGATTTCGTTTGTCCGTCTAAATCAAAACCGGCGTTGCAGGAAAATGTAACGGTAGTACCAGCAAGATATCTTGATAAATCTGGCTCAAGTGAACCAAACGAAGGAGCCCCAGGATTTGCACATACGATTCCTGTTAAAATAATTCATTAACAAAGAATAGTGTTTACCTACCAGGGTTATTACAATAACTATGCTGAACACATTGAAGTACGTCTATGTAATTATTAATATATCTAAAGCTATTTAGGCAGTCATTAGGCATAAGAAATCATGCATGGTATTGAGTACAAATTAATAATGAATCTCGAAATGTCTGTTTGAAAGATGTAAAATACGTCATAAAAATTTCCACTTTATGTAACAATATTTTAAGTAACTCACGTTCGCAGGTCGGGAACGAGCTAAGAAAATCTCCATTTTTCCCACACTCGCTTTCGTCACGACCGTTCATTCGGTACCCACTTAAACATGAAAATCTGACTGATTGTCCAGCTACATAGTTAATTTCATCAGGTAGCATTTTACCAAACTCGGGTGCTCCAGGATTGTTGCAAACCACACCTAAATCACAAAAATTGCACTGATAAACACTTAATATTTGAGAAAAAATATTTTATTCCAAACTGGTGATAAAATGAGATTGAAATAAACTTAGAATTGCAGTAGGAACTTACGATTGCATGTAGGAATTTTTCCTACAAAATCTCCTGATCCCGTGCATTTTGATGAAGCAATTCCGATTCTGACATATCCAGAATCACATCTGAAATTGACCGTATCGCCCAAGAGATATCTAGCTTTTTTGGGCGATGTGAATCCATTGATTGGTGAACCCGGAAAGCCACAATTGATTTCTAAACAAGATGTGAAAATTGAGACAACACTGTGATACGCGATATCTTTTATTTTACAACTGCCATTCAATCAACTTCTCCCGGTTTCGCTTCGATCAGACAAAAATAATAAAATTAATAATAATAAAAATAATAAAATAATAAATACTCACGTTCACAAGTTGGTTTTGGAGCGCTAAACAATCCCGAAGGAAGACACTCAGCTTCTGGTGTACCATCCAATCGATATCCAAAGTTACAGACGTAGGAAATAGAATCCTTGACATTGAAAATCGGCCTGGTTGACGATATCGTACCAAAATCGGGAGCGCCAGGATTTTTACACGAAGGCACAACTGTAAAAACAATTTATTTTAATATGAGAGGCACTATTAACGCAAATGAGTAAGTTTAAGGGAAATCTCTCTAAGATGTATCTGTCTGGTAACATATTGATCAATTGACATACTTTTACACGTCGGTTTTGCTTCCAAAAACTTTCCATCGTCCATGCAAGTAGACGACGTTGCTCCTTCTAATTTGTATCCAGTATCACAGGTGAATGTAATGACTTGATTCACAGTATACTCTGGTAAGTTAGGTGAAACAAATCCATTGCGAAGTTTACCCACCGTCTTGCATGTCTTTCCTGGAATAGAATTTTTAATAACTCGCTAATCATAAAAAAAAAAATGAAAAAAATAAAAAATAAATTAATTAAATAATTCTCAACTCGCTAATCATACGACATCATCCAAAATCAATAGGCACTGTTCCGAGATATGATGAATGCACATGCAAAATTTGGAGCAGATTCAATTTCAACCTCGCTTTCGTGACATATAGCGTAACATACGAAGGTGTCTAACAGACAGACAAACAAACAGACAAATACCTATCAACATACTTATCGATCAAGATTGATAAGTAATAAGTAATTAGAAGCCGAGTATAATAGCTGCTCAAATTGCATCGATTACAATTTTGTTAACGCTCCCAAGTTAAGCGATGACGTAAACTTATCATGAAAACATTCAAAAAGCTTACTTTCACATGAAGGCATTTTTCCAGTAAATCTGCCGTTCAATTCACATGTCCTCGTTACGGCTCCCATCAACATATATCCTGTTCTACAACTGTACGTCACATCTTCTCCAATATCGTAACTTGTTTTCGTTGGTGTTGTATCACCGTTAGTTAGACTGCCGGGAAATTTGCAGGTGGTAGCTGGAGAAATAGGAATTTGGAGAAGCTTGAAATCACTATTAAAGCGATTTGAAAGTTCGTCCATTTTGTCAAATTGATCTTTGCTATTTCTGTAGTGTGAAAACTTACCTTTGCATTCTGGTACAGAAGCTGAAAAACTTCCCGAACGTTCACATTTTGCCGACGTGAATCCATGTAAAGTGTAACCATTATCACATCTGAATCGAATCAACTCATCAAAAGAATATGTTTCAGAGACAGGAAAAGTCGCTCCATTCTTAGGTTGCCCTGGATACTTGCATCTGATAGCTAAACAGAATGGTGTGATACAAGTTATAAATTTCAGTATCCCAAATTGAAAAATAACTGATAAAAATAGGTTGAAAATTCTGAATTGGTAGCATTACAAGTTTCAATAATTTCTTTTTGTAATTCGAGCACGTTTCTATTAACGGCATGGGCGCGATGGCCATTGATTAGACTTAACTGTAATGGCATCGTCGGTTAATATCTCGGGTGCATTCCCTGTGCACACCATCTTACCCAAGGTGTGATATCTGTGTGGGCAAAGTCGGACCAGAAAGATTTCGATCATTCCAAAACTATAGTAACCGCTCATTCCTAGTATAGTGGCTCCTTACTAGCAATCGACGCTTCTGTAGAGCCTTATTCAGAGCGAAAGGTGCGTCGTATACACAAGATAGAAACCTAATCAGTATTCACGAATATTTAATCATGTAACCTTTTCTATTTCAGTGATGGTATCTTAAAATATTAAAATTTGACCGACTAATTACATTGTTGTTACGTTTTATGATCTTCCGAAGTGCTCTAAATATATATAACTTTTAAAAAATACCTTTGCAAGTTGGTGCGGATGGTGAAAATGAACCACTTTGTTGACATGTCAGTGTTGATACTCCGTCTATTTCGTAACCATCATTACAAGAGAATTGTATTTTTTGTCCGACTGCATACTTGGATAGATCAGGTGACATTTTTCCATATTTAGGGCGACCTGGATTATCGCATGTATTTCCTGAAGTATAATATATTGATTGTTAACAACGACTTGTCGGCTTCTATCTCCCTTGAATAAGTATGGAAAAAGACCACTTCTATGCTAAATGATGCAACAGCATTACAAAAAGCTGCTTTATATATAACTTCATACACGCAAATACACAAATAAACGCGGTGGCAACTTACTTTCACAAGTAGGAAGATTTTCGGAAAACAATCCTCTTGCTCCACACGTTGCTTCAGAATTGCCAACCAACAAATATCCGGGGTTGCAACTGTACGTTACTTGTTCTTTATAGGAGTAGCTGAACTTATTTGGGGATGTGGAACCTCCCAGTGGATTGCCAGGAAATTTGCAAGTAATTGCTGTTTTGCATAAAAATTTAATAGGTTGATTTGCAACAAAATATTATTGATAAAACGTGATGATCAGTTTTTATATATTACCATTATCAACGTCTAAAAATATTAATTTACAAAATACGACAAAATATTCATTACTTCAGTTTTAGAAGTGAGAATGAACGATGTATATGTGTGAGCATTCAAACCTTTTACCACCATTCGCTTTGAGGTATGTTGGATAGTCTTAAATACAAGAGAAACCAAGAGAACCAAAATATGACAAAATGCTTATTCACGTTCACAAACTGGAACTCTGTAAAGAAAACTCCCGTCTTCATCACATGTTATGACAAAATTTCCCTCAATTCTATATCCAGTGTTGCATGAAAATATAATCTTCTGTCCGATCGAATATGTTGGAAGGTCAGGTGACATTGAACCGTATTTTGGGGATCCAGGATTTTGACAAACTTTGCCTATCAGAAAAGATTTATGTATAATACAAACAAAAACAAAATAAAAAAAAGGATAAAAGTAACACCTTACACTTAAAATCTAGTTCGAGATTGACAAAATTTAAACATTTTAACGAATCGAATATTTCTGTCACAATCATAACAAATTTTTGAAATCTTATATGATATATTTGAGAAAACATGATCATTATAACAGAACAATATTATTTATACATTACTTTCATTTTGTGAACACAAATAAAACGACCGAATATAATATTAGATTACAAGAAATATTTATAAGTCTACCTTTGCCTGATTATTATTGAGCCCAATTCTTAAAGATTAAAGTAAATATTCCCAACTTACGTTCACATCTAGGAAGACCATTTGAAAATGAACCTTCTGCTTCACAGACACTGGACGTTTCACCGACTAGTTCGTAGCCATCGTCACAAGAGAAAATAACCTTCTGACGAACAGGATATTGTGCTAAATCCGGAATGACTTTTCCGTTTATGAAGAGACCAAAATTCGAGCACGTCACACCTAAAATATATTGTTCATTGTATTAGCCATATTATAATACTTTCAATTTTTTTGTAAAATAAATTAAAATAAAAGTATATTCACTCGTACTCTTGCAAGTCGGAAGACCCGAGGAAAACTTTCCGCTTTCTTCGCACGTTGATACGGATGATCCATCTAACTCAAATCCTTCGATACATGTGAACGTCACCGGTATTCCGACTGCGTAAGAAACTTGAGTAGGCGACGTCACTCCGTTTACCGGGTTGCCAGGAAAATCACAGCTTATGCCTGGAATATTATTGTACAATTATCAAAGCATACCGAATTGGCGGAATTCTCAGTTTGCAATTGGTGTATATCGTGCTTGATTCATATTATCGCGTTATAAGGTGTTTAAACGAGTCGCAATGGTAACGGTTATGCCATGACCTTATCCGATTGCTCAAGGTATGGCAACAAGCTCAAAAATAGAAAAATTCAAATAGAATGTTTTCTAGGTCTAAGAATCAGTATATGCAATAGTATTAATGTGCAGAAATAAGCATTACCTCATTATAAATTTATCGCTGTTAGATTTTCATGTTTGCTTACAAAGTATAACGTAAACCAGTATTCCTAAAAGTGACTTAACGACAGAATTTCTTACGTTCACATGACGGAACAGGGCGAGAAAATTCCCCATTTTCTAAGCATGTAGAAATAGAAGAACCAGATAATTTGTATCCTTCGTCACATCTAAATTCAACATCTTCTTCAACCGAATAAGTTGGTCTCCTTGGAAATATACTTCCATCTCGAGGCGAACCTGGATTTCTACATATTACACCTGCATGATAAGAAAACATGTTAAATTTTGGTGAGATGAAATTAAAAAAATTATCTGTAATTATATTATATTGCGTAGGCTCCGCTTCGTAAGCAAAATATGAAGCATATAATGGCAGTAATTACTCAAAAAATACTGTCCTTTATTCCTTTATTCTGTAACTTATTGTGACACAATCTCTGTTGCGGTTTTACCAAGAATCAAAACTATTGCTATAAACGACTAAAATCACTCTATAGGAATTGTAAAAGGTTCTATATAGTTATTTGCACTTACGTTGACATGACGGTAGTTCCTCCGAAAATTTTCCAGACACTTGGCAAAAAGCAGATACAGCTCCTACAATTGTGTAACCTTCTCGACACGAAAACGTTACTCTTTGCCTGAAAGTATATGTTTCTCTGGTAGGAATGGTATCACCGTCATCGGGATTTCCTGGAAAGCTACATGTGGCACCTGGAATTAATTTTTTTATTGTTAACCAATAACGATAGACGTCGACCACTATAGTGCGGGTGGAAAATTTATGTAATTTTCAGAACATTATTCGAGTCACTCCAGTGAAACCATATGAAAGCGAAGTCAACTTACGCTTGCAGGAAGGTACAGCATTGTCGAATTGACCATCTTTACCACACGTAGATACAGATGTGCCAACAATACGAAATCCTCTTCTGCAGGAATAAGAAACTTCATCTCCAATATCATATATAGGGAGATTTGGGTTAGTATATCCCGAACTTGGTCTGCCTGGGTAGTTGCAAGTGCTTCCTAGAAAAGAAAATTTGTTGATTCAAAAAGATTCACAGAAGAAACAACGAAAGTACTTTTCTTATATATGAAGTCTGGTCAATCCTTACTTCTACAAGTTGGCAGATTTTTCGAAAAAGTTTTATCATCTTGACATTTTGCAGATTGTGCTCCCGTAAGAGCGAAACCTTCTTTGCATTCGAATGTAATTTCCTCTCCGATAGAATAAAATGATCGGGTTGGAGATGTGAATCCATCAACTGGGTTTCCTGGGAAGCTGCAGGAGATTCCTATAATTAAGGAATGCATTAAAAAATACCGTATGTTCTATCAAGTTACTGAAACTGCCCTAGCATCCGATGGCCTGATATACAATGTAAGTGGCTGTACAATGTACAGTTTATTTGGAAATGTATTAGGCCCTCGCATGGGTTATGTTACGTGTTTTAAAATTCAGATAAAAAATACTACGTATTTATATACTTTCGCATGTTGGTACTGAATCCGAAAATCGACCACTCGTCTCACACACAGATGATTTAGTTCCTTTCAATTCGTAGCCATCGTCACATTCAAACGTGACACGTTGGTCAACGTTATAAGTAGGAGAATTTGGCTTAATAGATCCAGAAGATGGGCTTCCTGGATTTCCACATGTAATCTCTGAATAATAAATGAAAATTTTTGTGTCTGTATGAAAATATAAGTGCCAATGACTACATCAATATACCATTTGAATTCAAACTTACCGTTACATGATGGAAGAGCAGACGAAAAAGCGCCAGATTCTAAGCAGCGTGCGGAATCCGTTCCTGAAATTGTGAATCCTTCTTCGCATTCAAATTTAATTACGGCTCCAACATCATACGAAAATCGTGTGGGCGATGTCACACCATTCTTTGGATTACCGGGAAATGAGCAAGTGACCTCTGTGTTATTAGAAAGTTGATAGTAGTAGTATATATATATATAATTTCCATTGACAAGTTTTATCACGAACAATTGTTTCAACATTCAGATACTTGAATAAGACCTACGGAGCAACTAGTTTTGATAGGATTGTATTGTTTCTCCTTCCCAATCATTCTTATAAAAAGTGACTACGGTTACTTCTTGTTTAATTTGCTCTCGCATGCTTATTAATGGCATTTTACCTTGGCAACTCGGCACTCCATCCGAAAATTTACCGTTGTCTTGGCAAATCGTTGTTGTTATCCCGTCAATAAGGTATCCAATATCACAAGAGAAAGAAACGATATCTCCCACTGCATATTTAGGTCGGTTTGGTGACACCGACCCAAATTTTGGTGAACCAGGATTGTTGCACACGGCAACTGAAAACAATCCAAATAAAAAAAATTATTTGCAATACTGGTGAATCATTTCTATATGACCCTATGCTATTGCATATCAACTTACGTTTACATGTGGGTACAAAGCCAGTGAATCTTCCGCTGCCTGTACACCGACTTGATTCAAGTCCTATCAATTCATATCCTTCTTCACATTCAAATGTTACTTCGTCATTAACAGAATAAGATGATCTTCTAGGTGTGGTGTTACCGTTGTCCGGTTTTCCAGGAAATTTGCATGTGATTTCTGAAAATAAAAATAATATATATATTTATTGAGTGCAAAACGGGAAAACGTTCGGGATCCATACTGGTTCCACAGCAACATTTTTTCACATACATGGTGACTACATTGTGGAAATTCAATTATTTTACAGCAGGATTACTTAATAATATATATATATATATTGTATAATGAAATTTCAATTAAATTTGTATTGCCGAGTACCTTTGCAAGTTGGAATGGAATCTGAAAATTTTCCATCTTCTTCGCAATCAATTGAATATTCTCCTTCCAATTTGTATCCTTCTGAACAACTGAAAGATACAGTTTGTCCAAGTGTATAACTTGAACGATCTGGAAATATTTCTCCGAACCTTGGGACTCCAGGATTTTCACATGTAATTTCTGAAATAACCAATGTATTAATACAGTCTCACTGTCTTACCCACCATACCCCACGCTTTACATGACGAACGAAGTTGAGTAGATTATGTCAAACGAAAAAAGGAAATGAACAACTGAAATAAATTTTGCTTTCTGCCATATGCCTGATGTTTTTCAAGATTTTATTGTAAAATTAACTATCATTATTATTTCACCATAACAATTATAAATGAATAACATATAATAATCATGTGAATAGGTTTTAGCATAGAAGAGTATACCTTCACAAGTTGGTAGAGAATCCGCAAAACTTCCTCCTTTTTCGCAACGTGTAGAATCTTTTCCTTCTAGCATGTATCCAGATCTACATTCAAAATCGACTCGTGATCCTACCGGATAAGATGATTGTACGGGATTTGTAAATCCGTTTTCTGGGTTTCCCGGGAAACTGCATCCAATTTCTGTTAAACAAATAATACATCATACAAAATAATATATATTCACTCTTACATCTGAGTTTTTTTATAAGATAGCGAATAATTCACGTCAATATAAAAATACATGATTGATGCTCAATCATAAGCTACCTGGATGCCCTAAATATGTGATTACTTTCGAGAAATTCAATGACAAATCGAATTCATACCTTCGCAGGTTGGAACGGCTGCAGAAAACACATTTTCGTCAACACATGATGCAACACTCGCTCCTCTTAATAGATATCCTTCTTTGCAATTGAATGTGATATCTTCACCAATGCCATAAGTTGGACGATCAGGCGAAATTGAACCGTATTTAGGACTTCCAGGATTACGACATTTGATTGCTAAAATACAGGAATGTTTTATATTGCGTTTTGACCCAATATTTTGTCATACGTGCAAAACGTACGAATAATTTAATTAAATGAAAAAAATCTGATCACGGCAATAAGTCGTTGCACTTTATTACAAAAGTAGGTTTTTAGTTTCAAAACAATTCATGGAGAAAATTTTATGATAGACAAAATTTTCATGGACGGTAAAGTAGACACTAAAGAGGTTACGATTGGTTAGCTAATCTGAAATGACAGAAGCATCGGTGATGTCTGATTCAACCCGCCAGAAAAATTTGGTTATAATATTTCTCCACATACGTTGAGCGTTTTAAATATGCAACTCAATGCTTAACATTTCTCCTGGAGTTTTTAATTCATACCGATGCATCTTGGAACTGCGTCTGAAAATTCCCCATCCGTACCGCATACAGATACAGATTCTCCTTGGAGTTCGTAACCGTATTCACAGCTGAATGTAACTCTCTCGTTCACAGAATATTCTTTCTTCAGTGGGAAAATTATTCCAAATTCTATAACTTCTTGAAGTGAACACTTGGTTTCTGAAGTCCGACGAATAAAATTTAAAATATAATATGAAATGTCATATCATGTTAACATATCCAGCACAAATACCAAAATTCAAATCTTACACTAAGTAGCAAATAACAAATTTGGTATCTCATACTGCATATAATGCATGTTTTTGAGTTACATAAGTTTACTAAAATTGGAGTGTGTATCATAAAACTAGCATTAATATGAACTCCAGTGTAAATCTGTATCAACATTTTGCCGTGTTTTTATTAATGCATTTCGGGGTTTTCGGAATATCTTACTTGTACACTGAGGTAGTTGTTCAGAAAATGAACCTCCCAGTAAACATCTAGAGGATGTAGATCCTTCAAGTTCATATCCTGATCTACACAAAAATGTAATTGTGTCTCCGACTTTGTAGTTTTCCTTCACCGGTTGAATCGTTCCAAAACGAAGAATTCCTGGACTCGGACAAGTAAACGCTGGAAAATGGAATATATTTTAAGGGTAGGACCGCTGTATAATTTCAAATGATATTACTATGATTAGCTCAAAGCTTCATTGTCATTTTAAATCCAAAAAGAGACTGTGACGATTTCGGTATATTTTTATTGACAGATTCCTCAAAGGGTTATCGCGGTCACGTAAATACTTCCGTTATTTGCACTATTTTCCTTCTTTTGGTATAGCTAATTTAATAACTATTCATGAAAATTAGCCAATGGGGCTACACAGTCCCTTTATATTGTTTGGGGTTCAGGCTTGCTGTTGAAGCTGTTACAGAATAACAACGATATTGCGGCATAATCAAGATTCAATACAAGAATAATTGAAAGTACTTACGTTCACATAAAGGAACTGATCCTTCAAAAACACCCACTCCTCCACACGTTGATGAAGATTGACCGACAAGATTGTATCCTGAACTACAGAAGTAGAGCACTCGATCACCAAACCTGTATTGCGATTTTTCTGGAGAAACTTTGCCGTTCAAGATAGATCCAGGGAAAGAGCATGTGATGGCTGAAATAGAATGATAGGTGATTTTTTTTTCAATCATTTCATCAATTTAAATTAGTCTAATTCATTTTTTTTTATATAAAATTTGGAAAGCTTGAATGAGTAGCATTGTTTATTGTAGAAGGCTATAAGCTTTATATCATGAACAAAATTGCCAAGAATTTTTTAGATTAAACTAGGACCGTAGTCATGGTGGTTTGTGGTTTGATTTGTGATCACAGATCATCTAATCCAGTGGTCGGCAACCACCGGGCCACGGCCCATTGTCGGTCCGCCGAAAGGTTACTTACTACTGGTCCGCAGTGAGGTGGTACAAAAACGGACAAGGGCTTAATAACACCTCTACAATCTAACCACTAACCCTTCGACTAAAAAACATCCCCCAACAGGAAACCAGACAAACACACGCATTAGTTATTGCTAAACGAACATCAGGCAATACCCAGATATAGATACAGAAGCGGTACAAGCATTGTTATTTTCACAACATCGTTTTTTTAGGCCGGGTTTTCAATATTGACAAATACAAAACGAAATATCGAAGAAGGCTGGATGTAAGAAACGCGTTACATGTATCACTGTTGACCATGTCTCTAAATTGGGAACTGTTAATGGCCAACAAACAAATAGAGATCTCGCATAGCATCACCTTTTTTGAACAATTTGTCGACGTAAATTTTCAAACGCGTGTACTTTATTAGATAGGCTTCCATTTGTATGAAGGTGGTCCGCCAAAATTTTGGTCAGGATATACCGGTCCGTCACTTAAAAAAGGTTGCCGACCACTGGTCTAATCTGTTTAATAGTATTTATGTTTCAAAGAATTTTTTCGCAACCTTCATTATCTCGTTTATCCCTACGCAAATAGAATGAGGAAACTTTCTTTTCCTGAATTCCCACTACTATAATTACTTACAAGGATTCAAAGAGGGAAATGGACAAAAGGTTCAAATAAAGCACACAACAATTCTAATATTTATTAATGACTAACAATCAGACAGTCTCTATGTTGTGAGAGTCTAATAACATATGTTACGCAAGTGAGTGCATTGCAATACCAGAAATGTTACAATCTGCTGTGTGGAAAATGTTGCTACGGCTGCATATGGTGATTGAGAACCCCTGCCCAAAGATAATTCGCGTAGAATATAAAATTGGGTTGTTTGGGACTAAACATATTTCTTACCTTCGCATTTCGGGTCAGTAACTGAAAATTCTCCAGTTTGCAAACATTCACTCGTAGAAAAGCCGAACAAACGGTATCCTTCAGCGCATTCGATTGTTATCACGTCTCCAACGGAATATCTTGTTCTAAGAGGACTGACAGAGTATACAAACGACCTCGGAAGGGCATCACAAATAATGGCTAAAAATAAATATATATTCATAAAAGAAAATGAGAGAAAGCTGAGAAAATGAATTCACACTGAAAAACGCTATCTACCTTCGCAAGTGGGGATTATTTCTGTTAGACTACCATCTTCTTCGCACGAAGCAGTTTCGGACCCGACAAGATTGTACCCAATTTCACATGAATAACTAACAGTTTCTCTGTAGGTGATATACGACTTCCCGCTTGCAGACACCTCTCCGTTTCGTAAGAACAAAGGTATCTTACAACGAATTTCTGAAATATTGAGAGGATATAGATTTGAATTTCAGCAAGCAGACCTGATTATGTTGCAAGGTCGCCCTCCTGACCGGATCTAGTCACTTATTATCATACGTTATCAGTTAACAAATCTAGGCAAATCGATGAGGTAAAGGAGGTCGTAACTGATTGTTGATTACGTGAACCACCTTGGGACAGCGAATGGTTCGGTAAATTCGTCAAATTGAAAAATACTTATTGGCGCATGATTTGAAACTGCAAACCTGCTTTTGATAATTCCAGATTGTCGTAAATTAATTCCAATGTGAGGTTGGTTACTTTAATGGAAGTATTAAAAATGAAATCTTTCATACAGCATTACAATTACCAGAAATGCATGACATTTTTAAACTTTTCTAGTTATGTCTGAAGTAACAACCCAACAACGATATAACTACATTAATTTAAATTTTGAAATAATATCGCTCACCAGCACACCGTGGCATTCTTGAAGAAAACTTCCCATTTTCCTGACAAGTGCGTGTCTCACTACCTTCAAGATTATATCCAGCATCACAAGCGTATGTAACTTCCTCTTCATACCGGAATAATCGGTTGGATTCTCTAATATAGCCGTTATCGGGCTCACCTGGTCTTTCGCACGTTATAGCTGAACAGGTAATTATTAGAACAGAGAATTACTGACCGATTGATACTATATGGTAAACTGAGATGTTTAGTCTCATCACATAATTTCCGTTCAGGTTTAACATCATTTCAGAATACAAAATAGCAAATGCTTTAAAATCTCTTTCAAGTGATCAAGTAGAGAAACTGACTATTTTGATCCGTAAGCAAGATGATCAGTTTGTAAGACAAATTCGGTTTATTTACGGCAGACTGTGTGAGCATTTTGAATATGAATGACGAATGATGAATGATGAATACTAAAGATTTGTATTTTGATATACCGAGAAATGTCATTCAAATTGCTACTTATTATTTGCAGTATAGGATTTTATGATTACGAACATTACAAAACAATAATTAAAAATGTTGTCTGACAACCTGCTAATAATAAACTTTCAAACATGTGCTAAACACATTGTTTGTTGCCTTGAGGACATTTCAATTTAATTAGAGAGAAAGTGTTTATGACTAAAATAGTGTTATTGACATTTTTGACAATTGGCTAATACTTCAGTATGTTGTCTAATTGCGCCACAGTTTAAAAATATTTTTAGATAGCACGCCATTATTCGAAGTAGACTTTTTTGGCCTATAAATAAGTTAATATTCTAAAATAAATGAATTAACTACAAAATTTAAAGGGGCAACGTGTTAATAATCGCAAACAACATGAACCACCGTCACAATTACGTAATGAAAAAATTAAAATTTGTTACGATATAATGTTTTCTTGATATTACGAAAAATAAATAATCGAATTATTTTTTTACAAACCTTCACATTCGGGTTCTTTATCAGAGAAAAGATCTTGGTCTTCACAAACAATACTGGAAACTCCTTTTAATTTGTAACCATCGTCACATAAGAAGGCGACTCTGTCTCCAACGTAGTATGAATCTCGATCGGGAGACAAAGACCCACTCAAGGGAATGTTCGGCTTGCGGCATGTTTGTCCTATTATACAAATGAAATATGTATGGCATTACTGAATAGTAGCGTATATTTCGAATATTACAAATATTATTTAATTCGGAAGATATTTTGAAGCATTTGAGTGATAAGCTAACAGACCGTTATAGTCTGTATTGTCGGTAGTATTGGGTGTCTGTGTCCATATACTTGAGCATAGCTCTCTATTGTCACAATGCCGAGGAAGCATCTCTCTAATCATTTGTCAGCTACCGTCAAATGCTTCCCTCGGTAAGAAAGTAGGATATACTAATTTATATTTAAAAATAACGATTTAATGAAACCAAAAAAAATTACCAAATGGTTGAAATAATTCTGTAGCATAAAAAAGCATTTAGTACCGTATTTCAAATAACAAACTGGTCTTACGTTGACAAGATGGAGACTCCGGTGAAAACGAAGCTCTCCTCCCAGCAACCAATGTGCAGGTCGCGGTTTCGCTTCCAGATATTTTGTAACCTTCCCTGCAACTGAACGTAACGGTATCACCAATGCCATAGTTACCACGGAACGGTTGGATTTTACCAAATTCTGGGCGTTCAGGCCTTGAGCAACGTACTCCTTAAATAAAACAAGGAAAAATATGATAGGAGCATTTTTAAGACAAATATAGATATCCGATTGGTATCTTACTTATTCTCGACCTCATTTTACGACCAAAACCAGGCACCGGTTTATAAATGCAGTACAGTCTAGGAGCTTTAAAAAGTTACTTTATATTAGAGGTCAACCTACTTTCACACGTCGGAAATTCACTCGAAAATTGATCCTGATCAACGCAGGTTACGTTTTGTTCACCAAACAACAAAAATCCGTTGATGCAGTAAAATGATACAACATCTCCGACATCAAGTAGTGACTTTGTAGGTACGTATGTTCTTGATACGGACTCAGGTGGTGCAGAACACGTTTTTCCTTGTGAAAAGGCAAGTTAGTGCTCATTGTGTATGACATTTCAGTGGATGTAACATAATATGGATGTTATAAGTGTCATTGTCTGAAAGTCATATTAGATTCCCCACCGAGCATTAAACATATAGTAAATGCATTTCTTTGCCCTTTGCTTAATTTGAAACTACAATATTCGTTTCGTATAAAACATCAATTCAAAGTTCAGTTATTATCAATAGAGAAGCATTTACTTTCAAAGGTATTTAGATAATTATTTTCATTTCTCAACATGGTTGCTGTTGTCCTGAGTTCATCACCTCTGAAAACTCCCTCCTTTATGAAAAAAAAAATTTCTTCCCGGTTTGTTATAGATAGACGTGAACAAAACATCACAAAATAAAACCTAATTGTATGATCTGGGTACAATAAACACGTTTGCGGCATTGCAACGGTTCCATAATACCAATTTAAGATTTACTTACTTTCACAAGTCGGTGGAGGAGGTCTGTAATCAAGTTTGCCATTTATTTGTGAACAAGTTGACACGCGTTCTCCCACTAATGTATATTTTTCGTTGCATGCAAAAATAACTTTAACTCCAAGAGTATATTCGCTGTCCTCATCTTTGGGATTGATGATTCTACCGTTATCTGGACTTCGAGGCGGAAAGCATGTTCTTTCTGAATATGGTAAATAAGATTGATTTTGACAACGTGACATTTTCATATATAATACATGTTTGGTTTTGATTTTGTCATGACCAATCTTCAATCTTACGACATACTCGAATTGTCAATATTGCGACCAAACACCCTCAAATGCTAGATGGTGCCAAAAATATCTGAAATCTATTAGGCTCTAGAACAATGATTTTATCAGTGATGCAATGTATGACTACGAAATTTACCTCGACAAAACCGATTCGATGGTTGGAATTCAAGTCTACCACCGACTTTAGCGCAAATCGATCTTTTAGCGCCTTCTAGGATATATCCTTCATTGCATTCAAATCCAACCACTTCTCCCTCTGAGTACTTGCTTCCTGGGGATTTATCACTCAGCAACTTTCCATTTTCAAGCGAGTCGGGTTCATCACATGTAGGAACAACTGAGAAAAGTCGAAGTCTGTTAGGTCATAATATAATAACTCGTCGACTTTTTAAAACAGATGTACTAACCTTCGCATGCGGGCGTGCCTGGCTTAAATACTCCAGCTTCAGAGCATGTTGAACGAGATCTACCAATCAGAATGTAACCTGATTTACATTCAAATATGATTGTTTCTCCGATCTCATATAATTCTTTGAATGTTGATGCAATCATAAGACTTCCATCAGAAGGAAGTTGAGGTTTGCTGCATTTTACCATCTCTGTAACAATGATTTTAGATATATAGGTTGTTCGTCAGCTAATGCTACTACCACACACCGTATAAATGCCGGTTCTAGGAAAATTCGCCGTAGGAAATTTCGCCGCATGGAAAAATCGCCCTATTTCAAAAAGACTCGGTATTTAGAGAATACTCTAACCCTCTGAACCCAACTGTTTTTATTACAAATACATCACATTTTTTATCACAATTTAAAACAAGTACTTGTTTTAAAGCAAAATGCTCTTGCGATTTTTCCTATGCGGGGATTCCCTACACCGCCGAAATTTCACCACAAAACGACTTTTGATGCATAAAAATTTTGAGAACCTTGAACACGACTATATATTTTGTTGTTGACATTCCCAAAGAGATTTTTCTGGCTTGAAGTGGGAAAAATCCCTCAATGTTTACCACGCGTTTCGAACTTTTTTTCAAATTCAGAAAAACAAATATATGTATTTATGATAGTTCTCTTACTCTTGCATTCAGGAACTTCCTTTGAAAATTCTCCGCTGGCTTGACAAGTTGCTGATTCGGCACCTTCAATTTCATATCCAGAAGTACAAGAAAATGTAATAACATCGTCAACTTCGTAGGTCAGTCTTATAGGCGTCGTATTGCCGTTATTTGGTAAACCAGGAAAGTTACAGGATTCTGAATACAAACATGTATATTTCGGTAATGTGTTAAAAAATACTTACATTGTTCAGTACAACACTGCATTTTAAAAGATTTCAAATGATGTATATAATGCAACAAATAACAAGCCAAAATGAGAGTATTTTAATCATTTTCTGTCCGTATATCGACATCTATAAAAACATACTTTTGCAAGTTGGTACATTTTCGGAGAAACTTCCTGTATCCAGGCACGTGGCTGCCTCAGCACCATCTCTTTCAAATCCATCTCGACATAAGAATATCACGCTTTGGCCAACATCATAGATGGGCTTGCCTGGTCGAGTTTGACCATTTGTCGGATTTCCGGGAAATTGACATGTCGTTATTCCTGATTAGAATATTTATTATATTGTTCTAAAATTAGCCATACATATCAATTTACAGTACTACACACAATAATGATGTTCGTGATGATAAAGCGAGCTTGCATGCATACTGGGTATTACTGGAGTCTTTCTTATGATGATGGAAGAAGAGTTTAGTTTAAGGAATATTAGGCTTCAAAAAATTATTGAGAAACTTAACTCAAAATGAAAAATAAGGACAAAGATTACAAAAGTCTAGCCTTATTCCAAAAATATCTCACCAAATAACGTGATTTGTTTTCCAATGTTCTAGTACGATTTTTTACGAAATATGTTGAATAGTAATAACTACGTTTTATCTTTTGTTTCAATAGTATTTAATCAGCACTTGAAAACGTGGTTTTAATCGAACGTGCCGTTAAAACGAATAACTTTGACTGGATAATATTTGCAAGAATGATTGGAGAGCTTTCTATTAGATGACAATTTTTGAAACAAAAATATTTATAAATGATATTAACTAAAGCAATGCCAATTAGTTAGTGACCTGGTATGTCTCGTAGAATATATGATGCCATTATGCTATGAAAAATGAATTGAAAAAGTAAGATGAAAATGAGCATCACTGCAAAGCGCGCAACTGGATGTATTATCAAGCATATTAATTATTTATTTGCATCATGCGGTTGGATGAGAGCGATGGCACTCACTTTTACATTCGGGGAAACTCTTTGAAAATTTGCCACTTGGTTGGCAGATAGAGAATTGGACTCCAACTCTCTTGTATCCAGGATGACATACATACTCCACAAATTCATTAATATCGTAAGACGATTGCGTAGGCAGCGTATTACCATGACGTGGATTTCCAGGAAAGTCACAAGATGATACTAAATCGAATAGGATTTCAAATTGTAACGATGACCTGATGATTTGCTCGTGTAACCTACAACGTTGTTGTTGTCGACTCGGAAGGCCCCAGGTTCAATACCCACTACCTCGCCCTGAGCGAAATAAACTTGACGGGCGGGCTTTGCATAAACTAAAATATTTCGTTTCTTGCAAAATTAATAAATCTATCTTTTTATATGGACAAACCCTTGTAGGAAGATTGTCTAGACTAGACTCTAGAGTCGTTGTTTTGAACCAGTGTTTCTTGGAACCCTGGGGTTCTGGCAGTACAGTCCACGGTTTCGCAAGTTTACATTAACATCCGAGCGTTGATATTATTGTATGTATATCGTTTAAATATCATAAAAATATGCGGATATAATATAATTAAGTATAAAATATAGTGTATAAGTGTATTTCACTATTGTTCCCTAAAGGAACTTCAAGTGTTCCCGACAAATCGTCTTTACACATTTTTTGATTGGCATACCTTATGATACCAAATATATTCATATATTTTAATATACAAGTCTCGGGAATGTGTCATTGGGTTATCGCCAAAAAAAACATTGAGAACGACTGGTCTGAGATAACCAGCCGTACAATTATTAAAAAAAGGGAACTTCCATATTAATACTAATACTAAATTAACGATAATCATCAACACTTAATAATAAAATGATGGCGAATATACTGTGATATATAGTATACTGTTCCATTCTTGTGTCTTAATGACAATTTTTTCTTAATATATTTGCTATGAAAAGTCAATGGATAAGCAAAATTCACTTACTTTCTTTTTTACAAGTGGGCGGTGCAGGAATGAAAACTCCAGCTTTTGAGCATGTTGATCTGATAGATCCAATAAGCTGATATCCAACGTTACATTTGAACATAACATATTCATGTGGTTTATAAAACTGCTTGCTTCTATAAGAAGTAATGAGAAATCCATTTTCTGGAGAAGATGGTTCTGGACATGTCTTGAAACCTTTAATAAAAAACAAGGCTTGTAAGTAGTGGCTATTTTAGTATGTAGTAAAATTTAATTTGTCCATTTTTGTTTGTTCTAGCAGAATAATATATTATCTTGGAATGCGTGAGAACAATATAAATTATTAGTTTAAAAATATGTGACAAAAATGTATACAATGTTATCTTTATAATGGGTATGCATGAAACCTAAAAGTTAATATTTTTCATTTAATATTCATATAAAAAATTGTAAAAAAACCCAAATCTATGTAACAATTTGAATTCCTTCAATATGCCCCTTACAATCTCAAGTGGTTCTTTTACCGTTTATCTTTACCTTCCTGAGCTGTGATTAAAACATCATCTAAATTACCAAGTTCAAACTTACCTTCGCATGTTGGAAGTTTTTCCGAAAACTTTCCACTTTTCGTACAACGCGCCCATTGTATTCCCCCAAGAACATATCCATCGTCACATTCAAATGCTATAACTTCTCCAACATCGTATGTAGGTTTGGACGGTTTCGTTCTACCATTGTCTGGATTTCCAGGGTACTTGCAACTTACATCCACTGTTATGGATCATAATATATATTTATGAAAATCATAGATTAAAATATTTCAGCTAAAAAATGTATAAGATCGAAAGTGGATCTATATTCTATACTATACTTTTTCAAGAAATAAAAATATTGAGCACAACGAATCGATTGGACGTATACGGAGGGAATGTATGAGTATGATATATCGATATTGGAACATTGGTCGAGAATGAAGCGTTTGCGGCCATTGCCCGAAAGCACCATCAAACAACGTTGTAACTAAATTTTGAATAGTATTAAATAGTTCAAGTAAGAAATTATGCTGTAATTTTACATTTATGACAGACAGGAATGTCGACAAAAAATCCACTCGTTGTGCAAATCCCGTAAGTTTTTCCAACTAACTTATATCCTTCTTCACATCTATATGTTACGACTTCTTCCGTGTTGTACATTGGTTTATCCGGAGAGAGATTAAGATGTTTTACATCCGGATGTCCACATACTGACTTAGCTGAAAAGAGATCATTACAACTTTAATCAAAACTAAATTCATTGTTACAAAACCAATGTTGGTACTAAAATAATACAAATTTCTTTAATTGGATAATAACGATATACAATGTTGGGTGAGACACTACAGTGTATCGAAAAGTACATTTATAGCAAAAATAATATCACTTAAATAACCTAATTCGCTCTGATCGCAATCCAATATCACATACGCTAGATCCCATCCTAACATTTCAAATAACAAGTTGTTTATTGTATGACCTATTGTACATTAAGTACTTAATTAGGCACTTAATTGGTATTGCGTAATACTTGTTAGAGTATTTAATTTCATAATTATTCGAGCGCAAGTAAACAAAAATATTATAATGTACGAGATCTGAGTTGTTTACTGGCCGATTACAGGAGTTGATGATTTTTACTAAAAAATAAAGTAAGCTTACATTTATGGCATATGGGAACGTCCTCAAATACTCCACTTGATGTGCAGATTGAGGTCGATTTTCCAATAAGAAGGTATCCGTCTTTGCAAGAATATTTCACGACATCCTTGACAATATATATAGGTTTGTCGGGAGACATATCCAAATGCTCTACTTCTGGACGATCACAAGTTTTTACTGCCAACGAAAATAGTTAAATGGACTCAACTGTGGCAACAGCATATAATATAATGAGAAATTACACTGGAATGTACAAAACATTGTCTCTTCAGGTGCATTACTTAAATTTGAGATACAGTTTTTTGTACCTGCAACAAACTCGTTCTAGCAATGTTTTGATTCTATAAGTACGAACACATAAGAAATCTCACATTTGTTGCAAAAGGGAACATTGATAAAGAATCCACTTCTGCCACACTTTCCAACAACGTCACCAATAAGCAGATATCCTTCTTCACAAGTATATGATACGGTATCGCCAATAGAATATTCTGACCAGAATGGCAACACCCGTAATGCTTCCTTTTGTGGCGCAGTACAGGTCTTAACTGTAGATAGAAAATGGCTGTGTGTGTTTTACATAGTTACAAAGAGTATGGGATTGTCAAGATGCACAAAAAATGAATGCCTATATACTATCTATCAATAAAACCAGCAGTTAAAAATATTGCACTTAAATCTACTGCCCGCCACGGCAACCGAGATGAGATTTTTTTTTTTTAATTGTGCACATTGGAGTGAGGAAAAAATTGACAATTTTGCATATTTGGAACGGTTTACTAAGAAATAAAAAAAAACTAATGATCTTTGAGTTATAAAAAAAGTCATAAAACAGTAATTGATACATAAGAGCTATATTATATCGTTCTTTTATTCGTTTATTGTTATTTTCTATTTTAAAATTCAAGATGAAATGTTGTATGAATGAATGAATAAAGTTTTCTCTTACTTTTGTTACAGAAAGGTACATTGAGGAAAATTCCGCTTTCTGAACAACTTCCAGTTCGTTCCCCAATAAGAAGATAACCATCTTCACAACTGTATTGGACAATGTCTTCAACATAATATGAGGTTCGTGATGGCTTAACAATGAGTCCGTTTCCTTCTGGAGCGACGCAGGTTATCTTGTCTATTAAATTAATAGAATCCTAAGGAAAGTGCTTAGATATATATATGCTACCAATTTCTCTCGATTTAGGAATACGGAGATGGCAATTTTGTTTGTTATTTTACAGTAAGTATATTGAAAGTGATTCATTTATACAACCTCAGATGATAAATATTTAGAATATAGATAAATCTTACCTTCGTGACAAGCAGGTATTTCTACGAAAACACCATCATGTGTACAAATTCCGGTATTTTTTCCGACTAACGTATATCCATCGTCACAAGTATATCGAACTGTTTCTTTGACTTGGTAAATTGATTTTGATGGGCGTAGTAATAATCCCTCTACTGGTGGTGGCTCACAAGTCGTTTCCTTTATTTTGGCTAAATGATTTGAACGTTAAACTAACGCACAAATTAAATTTGGTATTATCTTCGAATATAACAAATACGCAATAACATCGAGTCAAACTCGATAAATTTGTAAATGCGACCATTTCGTATTTCGCTTAGTCTTGTGCGTGAATTCACATAAAAATAATGACAAACTATGTATAAAAAAATAGCCGTTGTTTGTCGCACATATGACTCATCGAAATACTATATAAGAACTTTTTTTGATAAAGATCCACAGCCTACTGTATAGTGGTTTTCATGAAATCCGTTGTACCTGCCTCCCATGCTTTTAGTTATATGCATGAATGGGACGAATTTCACAATTGTTTTTATTTGTGCTATACGCAAAAAGAAACTAACTTATTATCCTAATAATGAACCAATACTTACGAACACACGAAAGCGCTCTTGCCGGTGGTGCCCACGCTCCAGTTCTCGTACAGAGGGTGGTAAAACCGGACGAATATTTTGATCCACTGACTAACTGATATCCATGTCTGCATACTATTGTGAGCTGGCTACCCGCTCTGTACGTAGTGTCATATCCATAGCCATATGACGCCCCAAAACTACCAGGACTTGTCAATAACGCGTGTTCAATTTTTGGCTGATAACAAGCTAAAATAAATTATGATGATTTCAATGAAATATGATTTATTCTGCATTTCACTAACTAACATAAGTTCATTTTTGCTAATATATGTAGATTATGTATATGATAGGATAATGTTAATAAGGCTAGCCTTGATAGCGCATCAGATCTCACCATACAAATTGAACCAGAACGTAAAAATTGGGCATTCCCAGCAGATCAGGGAATATTTCTGCCATCAATAAACAGGTGAAAATCGTCGTCAAAATTAGATGATTGATTCAAAACAGACAAGCAACTAGCGTTATAATAACTAAGTTACTATCTGAATTACCTATTGCAGTAAACGCCTAGAAATTCATTATTAGTGAATAAGATAGATAATATTGACTCACCATGTAGAAACGTTGATTTAACTTCTAATATACTAATTGTCAATAGAAATAAATACAGCATTAGCCGGTAAGCGACAACCATATTGTTACGCTACCTTGATCTGCAAAAAAATAACAATCGTAGCGTAAAGCTTCTGATGCAGACAATTCGACTAATTCGGTGAAAATGATGAAAATACAATGCAGCAAACATATATGTAGATCGAAACTATATAATTTATTTCAAAAACTCTCACGATTCAAAACCCTGATACTGTCAAAATAAAAAGATATTACACCGGTGTTTTAGTGTAATTCAAAATACCACGCAATTTTAAAATTGCTAAAGAAACATTGTCAGATTTTTGTGTTATTTATAAAAATGGGTTCGACTCAGAAAACTCAGAAACAAAAAAACATTTTAAACTGAATTATCTTGAATTACAATGATATTGTAAATATTTTACTTAGAATTGTTGATAGCGTGTTTTGTACACCGTGACACAAAGTATTTTGAGGCTTACTAATTATCACGACATTGCAATCAACCAGGCGCTATTACGACAATGATCGAATTTAATTTTTCTTTATTACAGGTGTCGATAGAACGAAACCATGAATTGTTTACGTAAATATTGGCAAAATCATTAGTTTTGATACTTTTAGCAATAATTATATAGTATCAGTTACATTTTTATGTAATAGTTGCACGTGGAAAATATTCACTTTATCCCGGAATGGCTTAAACATGTAGTAATGAATAAATTACTTTAGTACATCCTAAATAAACAAACTAAAGTTTTTAGTTAAATTAAACAGTTTTTTTCTTCATGTATACATTAGGATATAATTACTACGTGTTGTACTTTCCTCAGTCGGCGTAGCATCGTAAAATGACGTCACCAAGTGAAAGTATCTAACAGGTTCACAACCATGCTAATTGTTTTCAAGTTCCACAGCCTGCACACGTATATTTTTTAGAAACTAAAAAATTTCCCGAAATTTTAAATACTTGTTTTTCCAATTGGTTTCACAATAATTTCTAAAAATTCTCATGTAAAGTATTATTCCAAGTTTCAGTGGAATTTGAATTTGAACAATCGTCGAGTACACACAAATCTACGATTGTTCTACTTTGTTTGAATGTAATCTGGTATGAATAGACAATTGGTTATCACGTTAACTATGATGGTGTAGCATGTTAAATATCTGGTGTTCAAACCCCATTTCTGCCAACTTACTCTGAGAGTAATAAACGGTACACAATGCCCAGATTCGGGACTCACGACGGCATTGTCTTTATTGACTTATACGTTGTTGCTGATCATAAGTAAAATACTTCATAAAAATGCGACAATACATTTCGAAAAGTGAATATAACGAAGCATTTACCTTATTTAAAACGAGAATGGTTAGAAAACAGTTTTTCATTCGATAATTTATTTATGTTAACACGTTGTGACTGTCATACATGAATTTAAATATTGAATAAATGGTCACTATTGTTACGTTCAGTCTCTTCGAATAGGATGGAAAAAATATGATTGACTTATTTCTGTGAGCTCAATCCCATTCTTTCAAACAATGTTGTATAATTCGGGTCATACTTCTACCAAGTCTGGATCTCGTTATACCAGTTAATCTGTTTTAATCTACCAATATGAGAAAAAAGAACTATTGATGAGGGAGAGAAGGCAAACAGAATATTTTTAAAATAAATATTTTTATGGCTATAAATATGGCCACATAACTTAATTTACCATGTGCCAAAGGCTGGAAAATAAAGTAATCAAAATTGTTCACCTTCAACATTTTCAATTGGATTCAATATTAAATGTTATATATATAATTAGTAGTTGTTGCAAGAATTAAAAAGCAATCGTCTGGGTATCACAAAATTTAATAGGCATTGGTGCTGTATAGATTGTGACGAGAAGAAACCGAAATTAAATTTAAATCTATACATTTTAAACGGCGAATATTATTCAAACACTCTATTTTCGTTCACGCTTGTAATGTATAAACTTTCATGGAAATGGGCAAAATTGTGTCGTAATTATGACGTAGTCCGAATACACAAAGAGCAGCATATTACCATAAAATAATTTTTGAAATTTCAGTTTTTCATTTTGGCATTTCTGACATAATTCGTCTTGAGGGTATCATTTTTATTATTAGATCAACTATCATATCTGATTCTCCATCACGGGTAGATTCTATAGATATTAGTCTCATCATGTTCATAATTTGAAGCATTTCAAATTGGGTGTACTTGTGTATTAATTTATCGTTATCTGATAAATTCTGCCAACCAAAAAAGGTAGAACCTAAATTTTTTATACTTCATCTAATATCAAGTCAAACTCGATGAATTTGTCAATGCGTTCGTTACGGCTATTTCTTTTTATACATAGTTTTACTACTATTCTGAGTGAATAAAAATCAGAGAACTGGATGGATATCGAATTATTTTATGAATCTTGAGTTCATATATACAATATTACACAATTTTTGTACGTTGTAGAAAGAAACAAATTGACCAAAGGAAAATAGGGAATTTTCCTTGAAATACGATACCGCATAGCATATACACTCACATAAATATCTACCGCCTGGGTGAAGGGTACTTTGGGCTAGACGGGGTACTTTGATGATCTCAGATATTTCAATGACATTATCTAGTCGTGTTATCAGAATCGTACAACCGCCAAAATACAATGATATGGGCGTCTAGAATTAAGCCGAATTAAACTGTATATTTATCTCCCATAATGAATGACCATAAACCTCATTGCTTAAGTGGACACGTGTTTGAAACCTAGTTTATGCCTTCAGGGTTTTGCACGCAAATGCATCAGTTATACAACCATGACGTCACGTTTAAATTTCTATTTGATAGAATTTTACCTAAACTGGCTTACCATTCAAATTTTACACTTTGAGAACAATAGATTGGAACTTATCCATATATATATAAATTTGGGAAAAACGTAGACAATATACCGCAAGCTGCTTGTTTCGCTAAATTTTAAAACAATTCGCGATGTTTGTGATGTCGCATTCAATTTCATGTTATTCGCGGAAGTTGAATATTTTTTCAATGTCAACGATTGAATACTTCAGTTTACGAATATCGACGTCCAAATAGCATTAAATAAAACTAATACTAATTTTATTTTGACATCTATATGTCCTAACTATGTATTAATTTTTGAACTATTGATAGCGGCTGATCTTCTATCAAATGGAAATTCAAAGTTTAATTCCTGTTCAGGCTGATACAAACTATGCAGCGAGCGAAAATCAATTCCAACGCCACGTTTTGACTACTTCTAAATCCGAAATATTCACTTTTTCCGAGACTAATAATATAAGTGAAATTTAAACGCGCATGAAATATGGACAGTGGCTATAGCCAATACCAGTGATATTATTCTCTAATATCAGTAAATACCAATATTACGCAATAAAATGGTATAATTTGTTACACTTTGACAAATTAAATATTCGTCAAATTTAAAATATTATCAACAGCCTACACTCATTGTGAAAACCAACATTGGCAATATGGTACTGAGTAGTGAACGGACTTACCATGAAGAATTTGGCCGAGTCAAACTAAAAAAAAAGCTAAAATTTGTGCCAGGGTCACAAAAGCTAAATACTATCAGTTCTGAAATAGATCAACGGTTGATGAACATAATACGATCAATAGAGGTTATCAACTAATGAAGTTTGTATCTATTGCATCTGATAAAATCAAACCTTCTGGCTATAAAGCATAACAATAATCCTCGTAGAAAGTAAAAATGACGAGTTTTAAATACTTAATGACTAACATCTTTGATACAAAAACTGTTTTCTAATTTCAAATGAGTATCCATGTACAACTTAATATGGATACGTATATTTCTCAATTCCTAATTTTATTGATCTACGCTATCTATACTCGTATTTTTTATTTTTATATATCTGAGCTCAAAAATAGCCTGAAATTTTCACAAGATTTTATATTCTGATACAGTAGATTTATGCAACGATTAGATCATTTGGTGTTTTCTTCGGGCTGTACGGTGTTTACATGCTACATATCGTAAATTTGTACAAGGCTCTGTCTTGGTACCAATTCTTAAGATTGTTTATTTAGCCCGATAAAAATTTACATTTTAAATTACGAAATCGAAACTGCAAACTGTTTTATATATAATTAGGTTGGTAAATATACGGTGGTTTAATTGGATTTTTAAGAAAATTAAACACTTTTACGCGTTTCAATCGCTTTATTATTAAAACCCCTTAGTTTAAATTTCATAGAAATTAATAAATTATATAAATTTGGCCAAGTAAAAAACGTCCCATTTTCTATCAAAACCAGATAACTCTAACGTACGTTTACTTGACCAGGGCCAATGTCCGGTGTGAAAATTTAATGCATTTTTTAAAATGGTTTTTAAGTAATTTTTTTTATAAGCTGGAGATTGCATATTTTTACTGCTGTTTATTCTGCAACCGGAATTTGTTATGGGTACGCAAAATTACACGAAAAGCCTGTATTTATAGTGAAATGTTTAATAAATGCCCTAAGGAGGAGTTTCCAGTAAGTCGTATATTGCATGAATGTCGAAATATCACAGTTAGCTACTAGACAATACTTCAGTGAAAGGTTATCACGTATTATTGCGGTCTTTGTGACGTTGTAAATTCTCTGTTCAAAATATCGTAAGGTACTGGGATATTGTGCATTGGCATACAGATTCTTTTCTCTTTGTGTAGTTTCTAGGCTGAATTCTTATGTGGCCGTTGCAAAAAGAATTCTAGGACGAGATTGTATTAATGTTATAAGTATAACACAATCAGAAAGAGATAAATCGTAACTCTAAACAGTATAGTTAATATAATATTATAGAAATCCTGTATTTATAATTCTACTTTCCAATTTTCATATTATTTATTAGGAGTTAGACATACCATTACCAAGTTGAATATCGGGTCAAGCTTCAATAACATTAATGCACACATACCTACACCAGTTGCTACAACTCATCTATTTTTCTAAACATTCTTCACATTTCGGACAATGATACGTTATAGCGACCATACAATTATTCGACACGAAAGGTACATATGGATCGTTTTGTTACTATGTTGTTGCTCTAATTTTTATTGTTGGTATTGG